CTGCTGAGGAGAAAACACAGCATCTGTTTACAGTCCTGGCAAACACACAAATCCTGGGCAACCCTCTTGGTTCTGTCACTAAAGTTCAAGAAACAGGGCAGGCGGGGCTCTTCTTTAGCTGTAGTAGGAGTGTGCAATCAGCAAATCCAAACTGCGTGTACTCTGCAGGGCAAATGTCTGGTTTTTTTCAACAGCAAATTGTAAAAAAAAAAAAAAAACAAACAATGGAGAGAGAAACCAAAAATTTTAAAATAATTAGAAGACAAGTTCTTTAAAGACAGGAAGGCTTGCACTGGAATGTGACAGTAAAGAAAAGCCAGACAGTGACAACTGTGAGATACGTTTTTCCTTTGGGAAGAAAAGAGAAGGCTGAAATAAGACAGGATCTAAAGGCAAGGGGGTGTTTGAATTTTTGCCAAATTTCCCTTATTTGTAGTCACAAGGATATTTACTTTCTAACAGCCCACACACTGTTATAAACAAAAGTGGTAAGTACAGGTTTAGAGTTTGCAGCAAAGGATGTCTGATCACTGTGACTACATGTTAAAAGTGTCATTTTTTCCCTGTAAATGGTCATCACTTAGTACTCAGTTTCCAGTAACTTCACAGCTATACAATCATGTGTAGTTCACAGCCCCGTCTTTATGTGGGATTTAATAACTCTAGTTACAGTCTTTGAAAGTGAGATACCATAGACAGTACACCAGACTTTTAAAGATGGAGACTTATTAAACCTTATCTACAGTCAGGACCTGGTGAGCAGAGAACTTCGAGAGAACTTAGACACTAGACCAGCTGGTCTGTGACGTGATCGCCCTCTAGTGATTATTTCAAATTAAGCTCAATGTTTATGCTTAAACTATAAAAGCTTACTGAGCAAAGGTACCGGATTTGGATTTGATGAGTGTCTAAGAGTCTAACTTGTTCAGCAATCTGTGAAGAATGCCTTTTAGGGGAACAGAACAGAAGTTCCAATCCTTACCTCACTCAATAAAGATCTCCAGGACTATGTGTGCTAGTCACGTAATCTTTTCATCACCCTTGGCTGTGAAACGCTAAAAGTTACCTTTTGACAAATCAAAAGTGACTCATTCTCCATATGTCAAAACAGAGAAAAATTATCCATGAGATGTGATATTACCTATTCACCACCTAATTGAAATACACTGATAAAAGTTTAAACCTTGGTGGGATGGTAAAGGGAGAGAAAGGAAAGATTGTGAGAGAAAGGATTGCCTCAGACATCTGTGTGAATAATGGCATTCTATAAAATTATAAGTACATTAAAGGAAGGAGTATAGACATCTGCACCTCTGGAATTAAAGATGTTTGTGATAGTCAAGAAGCCTGTAATACAAGCAATGGGGAGAATATGGGGAAGGTGTGCTTCTTCATTGGCAAAGGCATGCATGAATGTGAGCAGGGAAAGCAATGGGAGGGGCTTTAAAGTCTTCTAAAGACTCTGAGAGAGACAGGGAGAAAGATAATGAGATGCTTATGTATTTTTTGTTATTTCTAAAAAGAAAATATTTTAAGAATCTGAAGACAATATTTGAGAGTCTTTGAGCAGTTAGAGTAAGTGACTGTAGATTAAGTGGCTTAAGCAGTAGACATTTCTATCTCCCAGACCTGAGTGGGGTCTGGAAGCTTGAGGTCAGGGTGCCAGCATAGCTCAGACATAGATCCTTCTCAACCACAGAAGGCCAATTGCCCATTGTATCTTACATGCCAGAATGAGAGGGAAATTTCCCTGATACCCTGGGTGCTGGGCACTGATCTAATTTCCAAAGACACTGCTGTTATGACCCAGTCACCTTGAAAGAGCCCTACTTCCCAACACCATCACACTGGGGCAAGTACTTAAACTTATGGCTTTGAGAGAATACAAACACTGGGTCCTCAACACCCTCCCTTCATAAATAGAAGAGACACTAGGGACCAAACCTTTACCTCCCCTGCATTCTTGTCTTTCCATCTTATATTTGTCCCCAATAAAATTCCAGTTTCCTGGTGCCTTGGCTTCCCTCGGAAACAGAGAGTCCTAGCACATCTTGTCTATGACATCTTTAATTTTGTCAGCCTCTAATGAATATTATATCCACAAGCTATCATAGTCTCTAGACTATTAAGTACTCTCGAGGCTTACTTTACCCCAGTCCATATTACTCATTTATTTGTATCATATCACTTTTCAGACAAAGAAGGCATGGACTCTTCAGTGTGCCTAGGTCTATTTTATAACACATGTCTAATTAATTCTATTACCTCAGGGTCAATGGTATAATTTGCTGGAACCACCAAGGGGACAGACAGCCTCTACTGCCTTCCCTCAAACCTGCTTTTACCCACCTGTCCTCAGAGGCTTGAATTGTTCCTGGTTATCTTGTGCTGTCCCTTTGAGCTCCTAACATTTTGATCAGTGTCGCCTTGTTAATGAATTCAGGTTGCTATCACAGAGTACATAGGCTGTGAGGCATAAGCAATAACTGTGTGTGCCTCACAGTTCAAAAAGCTGGAAGTCCATGATCAAGGTCTGGGCAGATTTGATCTCCAGGGAGGGCTTGCTCACTTCATGACTTGCCATGAGCTGCAGTCTTGCTCTGCCCTTACAGGGTATAAAAGCAAGACTACTAGCTTTAAGAATGCTGATTCCATAATGAGATTTCTCCTGTCATTTATAATGGATCTAAGTTTAATTACATTCCAAAGCCCCACCTCTGAATGTTATACCATTGGGGGTTATGGCTATGAATTTGGGGGTGAGGGAGACAGAGCCATGATGAACTTTATCCTAGCCTGTTCACATGTTCTGCAGCCAGTACATATGTGTTCTTTTCTGTCAAGATTGGAGTCCCAAAATAGCAGGGACATTGCTTTTCCTTTTTCAGTGCCTAAGACAGTCCCTGACACATTTCCCCTCTTTTCCTTCCTCCATTCTCTGAAATCAAGAGCTAAATGCCATTTCTTTAAACTCCAAGACTGATGTGGAGAAGGCAAGTAGGTCAAGGAGAAATGCAGTGTAGTGTATTAAAAAATGAGTCCAACATGCTTGAATATCAGAGCCCTCACACTCTTCTTCGGGAAGAATAAGAAGAGCCCTGAGTCATGAAGGTCTCTCGGAAGTGGTAATATGCGGGCTGAGATCAGCATACTGGAGAAGGGATGGCTTACTGAGGAAGATAGAGAAGGACCGTGCCTGGCACCAAGTTCTAGAAGTACTTGACAACTGGAAGTGTAGCCCATTTGGGTAAATGATATCAGGAAAAGACATAGAAAAGAGAAGCATACAGGCCACATGAGGACATATCCTTCTGGAAATATTCTGGTTGTAAGGGGGCATAGACCCAACCACAGCAAAGATCTGCTGATGCCATAGTTACAGGCTGTAGTTGGAGAGTAAAGTAGCCTTAGACTCCAAGCATCTTATGCTCACTAGCAAGAAGCATCTAACAGAACACAGCCTTTTCTTAGGTTAACATATTGTAGCCTTATCTTTAACTCCGTTGGTCAGTAAGAAAGCATATACTCAGAAATTGTCTCAATGATTTTTTTTAAATGTCTGTGATGATAATGGGGCCTATACTATTTTAGAAGCAGTGGATAAATCATCAAGAAAAAAGTGGAACTGAACAAAAGAATGGTAAAAGAGTCATTTTTAGGATAAAGTTGAGTCAACTTAAAAAATAAAGGGCTCTCTAAAATGTGTGTGCTAGACAGTGTCACACACAGAAATGAATACAGGCTTGTCATGACCCTTCTGGAGCAGGGTCCCTGCTTTTGACATCCAAGGTCAAATGTCATGTACGACTTTTAGCCTAATTCTTGATATTCAGTCTCTGGGATTCTTAAACTTTCCCCTTCCCAACCCCTTTTTGATTTAATTCCAACTTCAGGTATATAGGTATAGAAAATAGGAATGAAAACTGAGCATTTATCAATAATAATTCATATAGAGATTTGTTTTAGAACAAGTTTTCACATACATATAGTTTTACCATTTATTAGAGATAAAAAAGCAACGTTGCATAGTCTGATATTACATAAAAATAATATTTGTTGAATATTTGATATGAAACTGAGTGTTTGGCTTACACTTGCCATTCTAGCACTTAGAAGGCTGAGGCACAAAAATGACCTTGGCTTTGGGGCCAGTCTGAGCTATATAATGAGTTCCAGAGCAACCTAAGCTAGAACATAAACAAAAGTAAAGAGCAGCAAAACAACCAACCAAGACCCAAAACAACAACAAAAACCAATCAATACTATAAGACATCAAAGTTGGTTGGTGTTTAATTTTATAATTCTCTACATTGAGAATGCTGCATTCATTTGCATAATACATAGTACAAACCAGGAGAAGTATATTTAGGACTTTCAGAAACTGTGGGAAATGCTATCCTAATCTCAAGATGAAAGTCATCGAACAACTTTTCATGAAATGCAAGTTAGCCATTCAAACAGCATTAAAATTTTTCTTACACAATACAATTTGAACGCATATTAATTTGATATATGATGAGGAAAGATGGAAGATATTGTCTTTATTTCTAGTAATTAAACAATTTTGTTTCTATAAGAGGTGAAAACTTGGTATATACAGTGAAAGCACTGTAACTCATAACAGCAGTATTCTGGGACCTGAGCGGAGGTGTTCCATGCAGCATTTGTTACTGTCACACAGGATGTGATGAAAGGAGTACTTGAGAATGCATATATCATGTGTTCAGAACCAAGGTTGCAGTGAAGTCACACGATACAACATTTGTGAGTGTCTGATACATCTCGGATTCATTATGTGCTTCATTTTGAATTAAGTTTTGGCAGTTTTATGTCCAATAACCCTTGAGTGTTGCCAATTATTTTACAGTCTTCATGCATAGTTGTGGAACCAGGACCCAGAGTTTTAGAAGCTGTGATCTAAATCAAGTAAAGTAGACTTTGAGAGTAGAAAGCTTAAAGAGGTTATTTTTAATATTCAGATTTGTGTGTCTTTTTGTTAGGTCAATGTGAGCCAATCACTCTGGAACTCTGCATGAATCTGCCCTACAACCACACACATTATCCAAATTACCTCGGTCACAGGAGTCAAAAGGAAGCATCTATCAGCTGGGAGTCATCTCTCTTCCCTGCACTTGTTCAAACCAACTGTTACAAATACCTCATGTTTTTTGCTTGCACCATTTTGGTTCCAAAGTGTGATGTGAATACAGGCCAACGCATCCCCCCTTGCAGGTAAAGTAATGAACTATTCACATGCTATCTCAGAGAGAACCAAAAGAACACAAAGTTGATTCAGACAAAATAAATATTGCTAAGGACTCTGAATGTTAACAAATTCAAAAGATAAAGAAGTAGGAATAAAATAAATATTGGAGTAAAAATTCATGATTCAAACACCAAACATGGAGGCTGTTAACTTCCTTCCATGACATGTGCTTTTATCTGTGTTCCATTTTGGTGGGTCACAAAGTATCCTTTTGAATGTAAGCTAAGGTTGGGTTGCTGCTCAGCAGTAGAGCATCCTTTAGAATGTATAAGGCCCTGTGTTGGATCACTAGCACCCTAAAGCAAAGAAAAGCAAAGGAGAGTGTGAGGGAGCTGAGGAAGGGGCTCTGTCTTCCACTTTGTCTGGAAACACTGATATATTTATATTTTATATTAATTAAATGTGTTCTTCATCAGTGTGTTTAAGATGCTGTCCTCTGATAGTGCTTACAGGTTAGTGTGACTCCCTAGGGAGATAGGCTAGCTTTCTGCAGGTGATGCTTGTCACTGACATTTTCCTGATGGTCTCAATGAAAGAAAGACAGCATCTTAAGGACCGACTTGAGCCTTGGGTCTGAACAATGTCCTGAGGGCCAATAATATTGCTTTTGGAGTCCATTGTCAGCTTCGAGTCTCTTCTCTAGCTGCTTTGTGCTCTTAAGGCAAATTACTCAGTCTCTTAGGTCCTCAAATCCTTTCATTGGTGAAATAAGTATTTTGTTTGTTGAGTTTCAGTGAGAGTTCAAGAAAAGGTTGTGAAGTTAAATAAATGCCAAGGCCCCCAAATTGTATGAAAGCTCTGCGGTGACTCACGTAACTATGAAGAAAGCACATGGACTCAATTGCTTGGTGGCAGCTGTGTCCCCTTCTGGGCCACGTTTGAGAGGTTGTAGTCAGAGAATATGCACATCTGAGATGACTATTCCAGAAGTCACTGTTGCTACATTCTGCAATGCTGTCTTGCAATCAAGGGTGGCTCTGCAGATGTTCTTGCCTAAATGTGAATGGTAACTACAGAAACCATATGTTGGGATCAGAAGTCACACAGGGCCTTAAGAAAAAGAAATAATACCAAGATAGAGGACAGATGGGAAAACAATAAATTTAAGGCTGTATATCAAGTGGCTGATGAAGTAGGGTATCTCTAGAGTCAAGACAGGAAACAATAAGATTTCAGAATGACTTGGGCAGCTGAACAAATCATATAAGATGAAGAAAGTAAAATTTAGTGTTTGCTTGGGCAAAAGTAGTTCAGAAAATTTTATTAAATGCCCTATGAAGTATTGCTAGGATATCTACTGATTTCATATTGAAAAGTTATTCGCAAATCTTATTCTGTTTCTGCTAAGGTCAATGATGATAGTGAATTGCTACTTTGAATAGGACTTCCCAAGCAGTGTTTGATTTTCTTTTTATATCTGTGTAAAATTCCCCTAATGCATCAATCTTTACTATAGTTCTAAATTTATGTCCATATTGAATTTCATGGTTTAAGTTTTATATCTAAAATGACTGGTTGACTGGTTGTAAATGGTTTTGAGATATTATTGGGTGAAAATGTTGATAAACTTCTTTTACAACTTTAATTTTGTTTTTTAGCTTTAATAATGAACCAACAATAGGAATATTTTGATATTTATACATATATCTGTTTTTATTATAACAAGCTAATATGTTCCCAAGCTTCTGAATTAATGCATGGTTGTTTCTATGAGTCTGTTTACTAACCTTCACATTTCATTTTTAAGTTGCACATCTGAGGATAACCAACTTTACTGAGCCTCTCAATGTGACTAAAGCTTGAGGGTTTTTATGTCTCACGTTCAAAATCCCCTATGACTGAGGTTGTGCTGTCATGGTGAGTGCCTACCACTGAGGCCCATACAGATTTTGACAAGAACTTCCTTGAACTTTTGATGTTCTTGTTAGTATTATTTCCATTTTATAGTAAAATTCAGAAGTGTTAGAGTCGATGATTACCTTAAAATGACAGCTATGGCTGGGTTGGTACATTTGCTGTATATTTAGCAAAACTCCAATTCGAATTATAGTGCCTGAATAACACTTAACTTAGCATTTTTTCAAATTGAATATGAGAATGGCCCATATTCATTATTGTTGAAAAATTCCAAACCTAAACTAGAAATTGAGTTTTATCTTTAGAACAAGCAAGCAAACAGTATTGATGGAAGCTGAAGAAAGGGAAACAGAGGCAGAGGCCCTGGTAAGCCAGGACAGCACAGGAACCCTCCATCCCCACTACTCATCAAAGGAACCCTCAGCTGGAGGCTCTTGTGTAGGCTCATGGTCCATGGCAACAGTCTCTAGGAAGTGAGTGATGTTGGGCATTCCTCAGCTAGAGGCTTTTGTGTAGGCTCATGGTCCATGGTGACAGATGATAGCAAGTGATGTTGGGCATTAGTCTGCTTACAACCAAAGGCTGGAGAATGTTTGCCTGAAACACAGTAAAGTAGAAAGCCAAGGGGAGGGCCATTTGAGTCTTGAAGAGAATTCCATCTTTCTGTCTGTAGTGCAGTCTCCTTTGGTGAAAGCTGGTGGATCTTCTTTGTAGAGATATTGCTTGTTTGGGTTTTCTAAGTGTATCTATGCATGCTGATAAGTTTCTACATACCTCCTTACACATACACATAGAATTAAAACCTAGTACACTCTATGCATACATTTCCAGTGGAGCTATATGGCTTCTGACATGCTGTCTTTCTGCTCATAGACCCTTGTGTGAGCACTCCAAAGAGCGTTGTGAGTCTGTTCTTGGGATCGTAGGACTCCAGTGGCCTGAAGACACAGACTGCAATCAATTTCCAGAGGGAAATTCAGACAATCAAACTTGCCTCCTGCCCAGTGAAGATGTGGAAGGTTAATATTCCAGTTTATTCCATCCGGGCATGGACAAACATATCAGCCAGTTTTTGCTGTCTCTGAATTAGGGGGGTTGTTGTTGGTTTCTATTTAGTTATCAATTAGGCTTCATGGGTAAGTGATACTAAAATCTACTCGATTACCCTAGAAGGCTCTGGTATCTATCTGTCAACTGTTATCATTACTATCATGTGTAAAATAATTTTAGGAAATGAGAATAAACTCATGGATGAGCTTGGTCATCCAGATATGTCCCACTTTATGCATAGTCCATTTATAGAGCTAGTTATTTGTGGATGTTTTTTGTTTTAGGAGCTGTGAAGCTAATGATAAACACCAACCTTTGTTTCTTCCAAGTGAGAAGGCAGTATAGGATTATTAATAGGAAAGTAGACTTGAGGACTGGTCCATCAAACGAAATATTCAAACCTCCAGGAAGCTGGGGTCATGGATTGCACAAGGAATTTCAGGCTCAGGTCATTGTTAGGTGTCCATTTAGAAAGGAAATTAGTTATTGCTGATCTGGAGAGATGGTACCAAGAATGAAAGAAAGGGATGGAGATGAGCAGAGAGAAGAAAGCCAAATGAACTCCAGGAGCTTCAACTGTGTGGAGACCTTTAGTACTTGCCCATTCACAACACCTCAAATGGAAACGCAAATGCTAGTTGACGTCTTTTCAATTCTGTCCACTGAGATAGGTACTGTTTTTTGACAGAATGTTCACCGAGTCACTTCAAGTGTCGCTCAGGACGGTGTGTTCTGGGTTCCAGAAGATGTGATGGTCAGGCTGACTGTGATGATGACAGTGATGAAGAGAACTGTGGTATGTGCGTGAAATGACGTTTTTTTTTTTTTTTCATGTACAGTAGTAACTGCCAAATGTAAGAAACTGTGTTGGAATATGTAAACAGTTTGCTTGTTCTAGGAAGTAGCATCTAGTCTAATGCTAATACATTTACTTCTGACATCAACAGACCATAAGGCATGAATTGATATGATTTTTCTACTAAATTACATTTTAATTTATAATAAAATTACGATTTATATCACACACACACACACACACACACACACACACACATATATATATATATATATATATGAAAAAGGAACAGTTCACAAATGTGAGGAACCATTTTTGCTATTAAATTGCAAAGCCGTTGTTACTTGGTTTATTAGAAGAATAAGGATGTCTTGGCATAGCCTTCCTGAACTGCTAATTGGGCATCTGCATCCATGAAGACAGTTCAGGCAACAGTGCTTACATTTAATTGAGATTCATTTTCATGCCCCTCTAGCTTTAACTCTGGTAGAAAATATAAAACTCTTCTTGACACTTTTTCTATCGAGCCCCCAAAGTCACCAATGGGGAGGCTTAAGATGCCAATGTGAAAACAGCCACTCTCAGTTTATTTTCCTGAAAACTGTAGTTCTTGCAAGCTGAAAACATGCCAGGGATCAGAAGACAGACAATGCGTTTCAACAAACAATGCCTGGCATCGAGCAGAATGATTGAAGTGCTATCTAAACACTAGCTTGCTTATGATTACTTAGTCTGTCATACCCCTAAATAAAATTGACACTTTATTCATTGGAAGCACATAAGGTAATATATCTTTTGAGATCATTTCATTCCATCGGCCTTTGAAGTATGTAATATTGCCTTCCCCCTCAAAATGAATTTTCATAGTACATATTGTCCTCCTGGCCAAGACAAAATGCCATAAGCAATCAACTGAGTCACTATCAGCTACTATAAATATGGATGCATGCTTTCTCTGGAAGATTACAGCTGTCAGGATGTTGGTACTGAGGTCAGTGTAATTTTGCTACAGAGCAATATTTAATAATTTGAGAGCTTACTATAGTTTTCCAGTTTGTGAGCTTTCTATAAAAAATAATAAAAACTTTACTGTCACATCAGTAATATATCCAGAATGTATTAGATTGTTCAGTTAAGAATTTTGCTGGGGTATGGTATTCTAAGGTATGATTAGATAGATTATCTTAGGCTAGTCAAAGTGGTTATATGACTCTACTAATGATGACTCTGTTTCATTGGGTAAATGCTTAGTTTAAATAATAATGGGTTTTGCTGCTTGGGGGTACATGCCTGAAATCCTAGCACTTGGGAGGTAGAGGCAAAAGGTTGAGAGTTGAAGGTCATCTTCAACTTTACAATGAGTTTGAAGCTAACCAGGGCTGCTCCATGAGGCCTTGAGTTGAGAAAAACAAAACAAATAAAATAAAGAATACATCCTGCCAAGAATAAATGGTATCCATTCTAAAATTCACTGTGAAACATAATTTCACAGTACCATAATATAGTACTTAAATGACCCTAAAATATCAAGATCCTAGGTAAATAATAAGTTTTTAATAAAAACTTCAATCTTATAATTAACAGATTACCACAATGATAAAATAAACTGTTTTATTTAATTTTCAAAATATCATGTCTATCATTGATAGCTCTGATGTAAAAAGTTAGAAACTGATAAAAATTCATTCATTTGGAGCTAAATTGATTGTTTTAATAGTAATAATTCACACGAGAAAATTTGCACTGAGTTTTCCAAAGTGACCTGAGATGGACAAGTTCCTCTTTGGCATGCATGCATGCACTCAGATGGGCCATCCAGTGAGCTGGGAAGATACATCACTGATGATTAGATAAAGAAATCAGGTTGTCAGGCTTGGAGAGACTCTGGGTACACCATCCAGTATACGCTCAGCTGTTAACCTCTGTTTTCTTGTGCACATAGGCCCGTGAGGAAGTAGAAACATGGAAGTTGGGCTGTACTCCATCTTCCTCATTGCTCTGACTTTTCTATGTCTCTTGCACTTAAGGCACTCAGTGGTTGGGGACTGTCTATTGTGAATCCACAGCTCACATAGAAGTTTTAACAACACTTCAGTTATGAAATGTTTGATGTATCAGAAATTGAATTGACTGTGTATTTCTTTAGCAATTTTGTATCTGGAAATATGATTACCAAAGCACATAAATTATAGATGTACTTTCAAAATCAGTGTGTGAGAACTTAGCAAAGAGAATTTTGCTCTTGGTGGCTCCTGCTCTCATGATTAAATTTTTTGTTGCTGCAATTGCTAAGTGTCTTTGTTAGGGTTTACTATTGCTGTGAGGAGACACCATGACCACAGCAACTCTCACAGAGAAAACATTTAATTGAGGAGGCTCACTTACAGCTCACAAGTTCAGTCCATCATGGTGGGGAGCATGGCAGTATATAGGCAGGCACTGTGCTGGAGAAAGAGCTGAGTTTCCTACATCTTGCAGGCAACAGGAAGTCAACTGATTCCCTGGGCAGTATCCTCAAAGCCCACCTCCACAGTGACACACTTCCTCTAGAAGGTGTGGTGCAGATTAAAGGTGTGCCCTCTAGTCTCAAGGTCTGGATCGAAAGCATGTGTCATCCGGCCTCCTCCAACAAGATCACACTTCCTGCTACAAGGCCACACCTCCTAATAGTGCTACTCCCTATGAGTTTATGGGTGCCCAATACATTCAAGCTACCACACTAACATAAACAAGCATTGCAAGGTTTGCTAATATTCAGAGTGTTTTCAACAAATGCTGGAAGGACTGTGCAAGCCTGAAGGCCTCACTGAAGAACTGACTCACAGAAGGGAAGCCTTGGAGACATGGAAGGGATTAGCAGAGTCACCAGAAGCACTTCCTCATCTTACAGGTTGATAGTTTGCTGGGATAAAATATTAACATATCCCTATATAGTTAAACTAGTAACTTGATAAAAATCAGTTTCAGCATAACACTTTCCATGAACCAAACAGTGAAGAATAAACAGGCCTGAGCAGAGACGCAAACATGAAAGACATAAAGAAAACAGTGGGGTTTTTGCTTGTTTGCTTGCTTTTTTTGTTTTAATTTTTGTTTGTTTTAATACCACTTATTTTAATACCCTTTGGGAGGGAGATGCTATAAGGGTGAAGGGTAGATACAGGGGGACTAGGAAGTGAGTGGGATTGGGGTGCATAACATGAAATTCCCAAAGAATCAAAAAAAATGTTTTAAAAAAGAAAACAGCAATGGGATTCTGTATTTAATTTTTGCTGTCAGGCTTTCACATTGACTATATAAGGCTGAGGTTTGTTTTCATTAGGGTTATGATCAGTCTGGGTGAGCTATTATATAAATATGGTGGTACCTGTACTCTGTTGCAGACAGTGGGTCTTCTCAGTGGGGCCATTAGATGAGAATGTAGCTTAAGCAAATTATTTATATCTAATGTAAAAATAAAATCTTTAATTACCTGAATATAGCATCATCATTACCAACAGATCACTCTTCTGATTATTAAATAATGAAAACCTCTATGCAGAGAAAGGTTGAGAGCAATGAAAATTGTTGAGTGACTTTTCATTTATCTTCGAATTAACAAAAAACATGTTTATCAACTATTGTTGGTCTTTTATTAAGCTCGGATAAGACAAAAACTTTCGATGTATATCCAGAACTGTTTCTCAGAGTCTGATTCTCTGAGGGTCCACAGAGGATCATTAATGTGATACTTTGGAAGTTTCAGGAAAGAGTTTTGTATATTTTTGTACTCTTTAAGGGCACTGAGGTAATTCATCACACAGAATGGTATTATGTGTGGTTGAGACCACTCTGCTCTGTAGTCATCAGAAGAGTAAGTCATTGTGTTCACACATGGGACATAGCCCTAAGTGTGCTTTCAGTATGAATCTTTGTGCTTGGTTTCTGATCTCTGAACGTGTCCAATTCCTTCCTGCTAAAGAAGAAAAATGATCTCCCACTTTGGTATTCTGCTACTTGCTTTGTGTGTCACTGTCTTGTATTGAGTAATGGATTGGCAGTTTAGAACGGTAGAGTGCTCTGGGGAGATTTAGGCTTGGAATTCAGACTCAGCATTTAGAAACCCTGACAATTTTAGCTTTCCATTTCCCTTCCCTAGAATTCACTTGCAAGTTGTGATGCACCCTTCTTTATCTTTTATAACTTAAAGATTTATAATGTTCCTACTCTGATCCTCAGAAGACAGTGGCCAGGAACCTAGTTGCCATGGTAGTAGGGAATCTAAGAGGCAATTCCCTTCCAAATTCACCCTATTCATCTTGCTTGGAGGAGTTCTGTTTGGCTTGGTCTTGTTTCAGACAGTTGATTTTGGCAGTGTAAGTGGACTGACATAACATGGCAAAGCTGAGTTGGACAAAGTCCCCAACTTTCATCATAAGCATATATATGAGGAAAGTATCTTGTCCTAGACACAGTAATTATTTGTGCAAGGTGATCCTGTTTCCAAAATTTCAGCCATTGTGAGGGATCCTCAGCCTATGGATAAAGCCTTACTACTATTCCCTCCTCCTGCCTCTTCATAGGGCATTAAGTCACTTTGTGTTAAAGAGGACATGAAGTGTGCATTCCCTAGGAAAGAAAAGAATTGGGAAATCTACCAAAACTGAAGATGTAGGTCATAGAGATAGTGTGATGTTTTCACGCACCCGGCAGCATTGTAGTTTATCTATGTTGACTGCTAGGATGGGCACTGGTAGGAGTCAGGATCATACATACCCCTACAGGCTCTTCACACCTGCTAGCCCCAAGCCCTGGCTGTCCCACCTCATGTGATTCACTCTAAGGGTACATCCACAGTCCTTTCCTGGGGCACATTCTGCCCCAGGGTCTCTGGATCTGAACTGTTTCACCCTTCATCAGCTCAAAGACCCCGAACCACATTTTTCTCGTTCCCCCTTCTTAGCAGCTCTGGCCTGAAGAGTGAAATAGGTTTCATTTATTGCAGTTAAGAGGATGAATGGACCTCATATTTGCATAATAAGATTTTTATACAGCAAGAATATCTGTTTTGGGGTTATGCTTTACAGATGAAGTGTTATAGAAGTATCTGTGTTAGGGTTATGATTTGGATATGAAGCCTCCTTGATCCCTGGCAAGTAGAACTTCTCACTGAGAGGTCATTGGAACTTGAGGATCCTAACCCAATCTGCCAATTAAACCCATGGTTAAACCTAAAATTCAACAACATTAATGGCAGGTAATAGAAACTTTGAGAGATGGGTCTTATTGGAGGAAGTGAGTCATTGGATGTAGATTCTTGGGGGCCATATTGTGTTATTTTGTTATTTTGTCCAGGGCTTCTTTGTCTTTTTCTGATTCCTGGATTTCATGAGGTGAACAGGCTTTCCCTATACCAGCCAAATGCTTACGTGGTGCAGGACTGATATCAATAGAGCCAACCATAATATATTGTCTCAGTAACACACACACACACACACACACACACACACACACACGCACACGCACACGCACGCGCACGCGCACGCGCGCACGCGCGCGCATACGCACAAGCACACACAGTGATTCACTGTCATTATTTATAACAGCAATTTCACACACACACACACACACACGCGCGCACGCGCACGCGCACGCGCACGCGCGCGCATACGCACAGGCACACACAGTGATTCACTGTCATTATTTATAGCAGCATTTTTTTTTTTTGGTAGAGAAACCAAGAGTCCAGTTCAGGTAGGGCCTGTCTCTGGCAATGAAGCCTGTTTCTTGGAGTATCTGCTAAAAATGAGAGGGATAATGAGTAGAGTGCTTAGTGAACTGACTGCTAAGCCAATTTAAGGTAATGAGCCATCCCAGTTTGCCTGGGACCAATGGGGTTCTTGGGACAAGGAACATTTGGTGCTTGAACTGGTAAAGTTCTGGGCAAATCAGTTATCAAAATTGATAACTTGCCTAGCACTGTCCTCCTTTGGTGTGCCTTGCTATTCTCTCTGTGTTGCATGGCTGGTATTCTGACTACCATTGCTATTTTATCACATAGCCTAAAGCTGCTATGTGATACCTTGGCTGGTATTCTGACTACCATTGCTATTTTATCACATAGCCTAAAGCTGCATGAAGTACCTTAACTCATGCATGTCTGTTCTTAATGAGGCTTTCACTTTGCTTTTAGAATACCACATTGAACACATACATCAAAAATGTTAATTTGTAGACAAAGTGGTCTCTTCACAAATAATACTATCTTCCACGTGACAGATGTCATGACCTCCTTCCATTTTATTTCATCTATTCTCAACATCTTTTCCCCTAAGAGATGTTTGGTGTAGAAAATGTAGGAAAGGAAAGATTAATGCTCACAGAATACTCATTTAGGGTTGGAGGTCAGATGAACAATAGCTGATGAATGTCATCGCTTCTTCTTAGTACTGTTCGTGAGCATACACTGTAGACAGCCATATACCCAATGATCTTTTCCTGTGTTTTTTTATATTTGTTCCTCCCAAGTGTACAAATTCTTTGTTAATTTCAAAGGTCTTCTTTCATCAGGCTCCTTTCTTTCATCCCCTACTGGCATAGTGGTTTCTCCAACAACAACAAAAAGTCAGACCTTCAGTTTTTGCCCTGCCCTCTGGTGGAATGAGAAGTTTAGTCTGTTGGACAGGAACTGGGGCCTATGGAAGATTTCAGAGCCATTTTGAATCTCTAGAGGACATCACTTTCAGAACATTGCAGTTAGGGTTGGCTTTTGCTAGCTGAAAACTCCAAATACCATGACCGTGAGTTCCTTGAATCTATGTCTGAACCTAAGAACACTCCAGATGAGTGTGGCCAATGAAGGACTCTTGCCATTTATCTCTCATATATTTGGGTAATGAAAACACTCTAGATCTAATTTTAGCTTAGGAAAATTTCTATCTGGTGGAGTATTTTGATCCTTGTTTGGAATTACCATTTTTAACAGTGAGATTTTTTTTCTCATAATGGATTCCAAGAATCCTAAGTTAATCATCCATCATGAGATTTCTCTGAATTCTTTGTCATAGGTCTGATGAGAAACAACATTTTCAAAGAGTATCCTTATTTGCTCGCTGCACTGCATTTTAGATATTTTAAATTCTATTTTCATGGGAACTAGAGTTCTTTGTTACTTAGATGAAATGAGGTCGCATATGGGTCTACCATATCCTAATCACTGTTCTAGGAGAAATGATGGGCATCAGAAAGGTCAAGGGAACACTGGTCTATAATCAAACAGGTGGTTCTTGAATTTGAGGACAGCCTTGTCTACACAGTGAAACCATCTAAAAAACCAAAAGGACATAACAGTTTAAAGCCATGAAATCATTTCTTTCATACCCTCACAGAATGGTGAGTATCATGAATATTCTGGGCATCTAGTTGCCATAGAATCTTGACATATCTAAGCTGATATTCAAAACACATTGCACTTAAATCAAATGATATGTAGTAAGTGTTGTCAAAATATTTGCTTCTTTGGGGGGCATAAAGTTGAAGTTCAAGTTGTCAACTCACAGTTCTGCTTGTCTCCAAATTATTTCTGTCTTCCACATTAGCTGATGAGGTTCCCACCCTTAGCTCTCTGGTCAGCAAAAACAATGGCTTTTACACCTGGCTCTTAAATGAATTTTTGTAGGTACTTAGCATACTCATTCATGAAGCATTCAGATGGCCCCTCAGTTTGTAGACGAAAATTACATTTTCAGATCACACACATTTACAGCTCTAGGTTTCAGCATATTTGCTTTGCACACTGGCAAGTTGACTTAGAAAGCAAAATGAACAACTCAAGAAGGATGCTAATGTATAGCTGCTTTTTTTTTTAACTTTTTCCATTTCCCATATGTTGATTTGGATCTTCTGTTAGGAGAGATGCTCTGTTGGTTGTGCAGAATGGGGACTACTGGATGCTCCTATTTACAAAGCCACATAGTAATCACAGATGTCCAAACTCTTCAAGAAGGAATCACACCTTTGCAGTTTTTCCTAATGTCATCATCATTTTCAACTGTGTGTATATCATTAATGACTTTTTCTTCTGTTTCCAGGTTGCAAAGAGAGAGATCTTTGGGAATGTCCATCCAATAAACAATGTCTGAAGCATACATTGATCTGTGATGGGTTTCCAGACTGCCCTGATAGCGTGGATGAAAAAAACTGCTGTAAGTACCTTTATGAATCTGTTAACATGTTTTTTTATTTTAAACACCCATTGTCTCACTTTAAATATAAGCTAGAAATTTGGAAATACATATCAAAAGTTTTTAGTTTGTTTAGTTCTTCTGATTAAACTTATGTTTATAGAATTATAGATTACAAGTAGACGAATGTCTATAAAATACATACACATACTATTTTAACAATATGGAAAGATTAAAATATTCCCCAGTACCCCAAAGTGGAAGACATAAAATGCCACCATAAGATGTCAACATTAAACTCAAAGTAGAGAAGAATAGTTTGACCAGGGTTCATTACATATTTTTAGTTGATGTGGTAGTTGGTTTCCTGTTAGTTAAACAGCATGCCTGAGGGAATCAATTTAAGAAGTTAGGTTTATTTTGGCTTGGAGTTTGGGATGTTTCAGGCCATTATTTTGTGGACTCATTGTTTTTGAGCCCGTGGCAGAAAATGTATCAGGGAGGAGATGAAACAACAAAGATGCATATTAACCTCCAGGCTGTGTATTAGAAGTGAAAAAGACACACCGGTCCCTCTGTCTCCTTCAAGGACACACTTTCACTGGCTGCAAGATATCCCTCACATCTTCACCCTTCTTAAGCAGTTCTTCAGCTTTCCAATGGCATCATGGGCTTGAGATTCAAGATATAGGCTTCAAAGGATGCTTATTCTAAATACAGCAGTTGAATAATAGAACATATTCAGTAGTATGTGCACTGTTGTTCTGCATTCTAGAAGTATATTTACATACATAAAGAAAAGTAACAGAAGATCATAAAAAGTTTACACTTATGATGGTAGGATTAAGTTTAATGCTTTTGAAATCTTTTGTCTGAATGATATACAGCCATTATCTTTAGAACCAGTTAAAAATTTCTTAAAGTATTTTTCTTACAAGTAACAGAATGCTTAACTCAAACAACAAAAATGAAGACATTTATTATTATTTGAATCATCCATGTCTTATATTATTATAGTAAAAGTCATGCAAAGCGAATTCATCAAACCATAGTAGAAATACATCATCTGTCTGTGACTCTTTTATTATAGCTTGATCTCAGGCTGGATGGTCAAAAGCCAAGAGCATCTGGGTGGGTGAGCTGCCTTAATCATATTCCCATAGGAAGAAGGGGGGATTGTGTTCCTTGCTCTGGAATATCACTGAGGGATTTCCTGGCGGTCAACACTGGGCAGAGTCACAGTCTGTAGCAAGGGGCTTTTGTGTGGATTAGAAAAGACATTCTCTACAAACACTCAATACACAGCTCCAGGCAGGGATTAGAATAAACTGTCTGCTCCAACCTGGCCTAGTTCCAAGACTAAGGCATGCACATGGCCTGGCCCACAGAGTTTGGGTGGATGCTATTTTGCAATGCATAAATCATATAAAATCAGAGACCAAGGGTCTGTTATGGAATCATGTTTAATCCTGGACTAATAATTACTCTCAGATAAGAGTAGTCATGCCTGTGTTAAACTAATCAAGATCTTCCTTTGGGGCTTGGGATGGCTGGTATGAACCTGGACAAAATCAGGTTTCCTTTTCACGGAAGGAAGAGGGGAAATGGATACTAAGTAGGTAATCAAGGAGATTTACTATAATTTTAAAAAATCCGAAAGAGATTTATATGTGACTCAGAGAGTAATTTAACAGTAGGGTTCCTAAAAAGCTATCTATCTATGTGAACAGAGCTTGTTGTCCTGCCAGTGTCTTCAGTTTTCTTTCTCAGACATTTCCATCATCTTCCTTCTTGGTCCCCTGCCAGCATTTTGCCAGGATGATGAGCTGGAATGTGCCAACCATGAGTGTGTGCCACGTGACCTATGGTGTGACGGAGAGGCCGATTGCTCGGACAGTTCAGATGAATGGAACTGTGGTAAGCTTCTGGCGGCTGCCATCTGCCCGAATTCTCAAGCCTGTCAGCCGTTTAAGCTAAATGAATCCTCAATTACTTCACGGGTTTCACCAACCAAGTTCATCTATTTTGTTTCACTGTTTAAAAGCTGACAGTAGTGATTCATGGGTGTTATTGCTAAGTAACAAAAAATTGACCCCCCCCCAAGTTACAGCTTTGTTTGAAATGTCTATATTACATGTATACTATTCTGCATTCAAATGTTTGGAAGCGTGTCATTTTTAGACTTCGATTTTATTCATCACTCACATTCAATAGTGGTGAATAATCAGTAATTCTTGGATCATTTACATCCCCCGATGAGGATATGAAAGTGGTCTCTGTGGGCTCTATGCCTTGCCCCTCATCCAGATGGAATTTCTGTCAGCTCCCTGCCCGAGGGCAGGACTTGAAGGCATCTCAGCTAAAATGGCATCTCCTTATCTTGTCCACACACAGCACTCTCCTCATTTACTCAGTTTCTACCTTAGCCTTTTGCATCATTTGGCCAAGCCATGAGTTTCCTGTGTGCTGTGTTCCACAAATGAACTACGGCTGACCAGTGGAGAGGCTAGGGATCTGTGTATATGACACATCAACCCCAAATTAGCACCACCCTCACATACTTCCAGTTTCAAATGCTGAAAAAAAAAATGCTCGGAGTTACAAATATCTCCTTACAATTAGTTCTGCTAATCTCTGGGTAACTTCAAGGCACCAAGGCTCTGCCTCTGGCCATCTTCTAACTCATAAAGAAAGGTCTAGAACTGCCTTTCTCTTTCACTAGAGTCTGCAGCACTTTGAAAGCAGAGAACATAACTAATTCACTTTTTAAAGTCTCCTATCACATTGAGCGAGCAGTGACTTGCACATAATGTGTCAACCCCAAGTGATTCTCAACTAAAATAAGTATGAATGAAAGTATGCCATCAAAGCAAAGGCATACAAACCTCTGCTTCTCAGGAGAAGTGTTTTTAATTAGGCTTTCTCGATATTTTTCCCCTCAGTGACCCTCTCTAAAAATGGGAACTCCTCTTCATTCCTGGCTGTTCACAGATCTGCAGCAGAACACCACGTGTGTGCTGACGGCTGGCAGGAGACATTGAGTCAGCTGGCCTGCAGGCAGATGGGTTTAGGGTAAGGTCAGTAGTTTGTAGCACTGATGAGTTTCTCAGAGGGATCCATGAACCTTAGCAGTAATATCTTCCTTGTGAATGATGGAGACCTGGAAAATAAGAGCCCTCCAAAGCCCTGGAAATGAATCTGGCGTGAGGAACTTATTTAATTCTAGGCACCTGTTCTGTAGAGCGTGGGCTGCAAATCTGTTATGGTGAAGCCTCAAAAGTAAATGAAGTAATTGTACTTTAAGCACTTCTGAAACGGGATACATTCACTATTTATAAAAATACTCAGACGGTCTCCTCTGTGGAACCTGGATGGAAAACTCTTCATGCCCCTCCCCGAGGTTTAGGAAATTTCTTTTTAAGCAACACACTTTTTTCTTTTAAAGACAAGTTGAGAAATGGAAGCTGAAGCTTCTGGTATTTCTATTTATCCTAAGTAATACAGGAAATATGCATCAAGGAAAAGACCTACTCTGGCTTTTACATAACCAAGCTGAAATGGATGCTTTGAAATGTGGTAGCATACTTTTTTGTTAGGTATTCTGTTCCAGTTCCTTTGGCAAAAGAAAGCCGCCATCTGCATCATCACAGAACATATACAGGATGCTGTATTCATATGTATCTGTTATGTGACTTATATGGCATTGTGATTTATTATAGTAGTGATATGTGTGAGATTTTATCATATATAGGAATCAGGGAAGTAAAAGAAAAGGGAGTCCTGCAATTCTAGATGTAAAAGCCAGAGTTGATGAGCTTTCCCAGGATCCACTGAGCAAATGAAAACTGTTTACAGCAATGAGCCATTCAGCTCAGCGACTAGCTGCATGGTTTTGCTGTCCCAGTTTGAAGATCGTATCACTACTAATATCTTGAGCCCTGTGCTCCCATGTAAAGACCCACATCTTTGGAAATTTGAGTAACTGGTGCTATTTATAATAAAAGAATTTTAATGTTTTCCAGCATTAGAAAAATTATAGCTGTCATGATCCATTAAATTATTGTATCCAAATGAAATGGGATATGATTTTGATTAGATAAATGAAAAACTCCTTGAAAGTAATCATCGTGGGTCTTGCACCAAGACCTAGCGGTATTTCTTAATATGAAAATTGAATTATATAATGAGGACTAACTCTACTGAGAGTTCGAGGATAAGTCGGGCCTGCAGATTTACAACCAGAGCCACAGTTTTGATAAGCCACCTTAAACATAACTGTTGAGCTACAAACAGGAGAGGTCTTGTTTTAAGTGTCTCTTTTTTGTGTATTTCCTGCATATTAGACTTTTAGCTATTTCAGTTGCGTTTGACATACTTAGTGTTGCATGACTGTCTCAGTTGCCTCAGTATAGCACATTTCTGTCACCACAAAATTAAGCTATATGCCCATATGTCGTCACTCTCAACTGTCCTCCAGACCTGGTAGATTATTCATATATTCTCCATCTCTATGCATTTCACTACTATTCTGAATGTTTTCATAAGTAATCACATAGCATGCGATTTTTTCCCCAGATAATGTTCTCAAGCATCTATGTTACAGTATGTGCCAACTCGTCATTATTGTTGATGGCTAACTAATATTTCATTGAATTGTTGTGCCACACTTCCAGTACTATTCCACATTCAATTATCACTTCAAACATTTGAGTTGTCTCTATTCTTTTTTAGTGTATATGAGGTTTTTGTTTTTGTTTTTGTTTATGTTTTGTTTTGTTTTGTTTTGGTGGTTTTTCGAGACAGGGTTTCTCTGTGTAGCTTTGGAGCCTATCCTGGCACTCGCTCTGGAGACCAGGCTGGCCTGGAACTCACAGATATCCCCCTGCCTCTGCCTCCCGAGTGCTGAGATTAAAGGTGTGCGCCACCAATGCCCGGCCGCATATGAGGTTTTTAAATAATTTCTTTAACCAGATATGATATTGAATACCTTCAATCCCAACATCAGGAAGTAGAGACAAAAGGATTTTCTCAAGTTTGAAGTTATCCTGGCGTGGCTTCAAGGACAGCTAGACCTATAGAGGTACTCTGAAAACCAAGGTTCACTTACTCCATTTTCCCTATTTTATGACTCTGTTTTGTTTTGTTTTTCAAGACAGAGTTTTCTCTGTGGACATTATCCTGGCGTGGCTTCAAGGACAGCTAGACCTATAGAGGTACTCTGAAGACCAAAGTTCACTTACTCCATTTTCCGTATTTTATGACTCTGTTTTGTTTTGTTTTTCAAGACAGAGTTTACTCTGTGGACTGTCCTGGCTGCCCTAGAACTCACTCTGTAGATTAGGCTGGCCTTGAAATCACAGAGATCCACCTGACTCTGCCTCCCAAGTGCTGGGATTAAAGGTGTCACCACCACAGTCCAACTATTTTTTCAACTCTGAAAGTGAAAAGTTAATATTTTAGATAAAGCCCCAATAGATGTATGGATGCTTTCATTTTTGATAACTTTTTTTCACTGAGAGGCAGGGAGTATCTAAGGTAGAAACAGTTGAAAAGTCATGACTAAATTCATGGGTAAATAGCATCAGGTCATTTAAGACTGGCTTGAGCTATGCTTGTAAATGTATTTTAGTGGCTCATACACTGACAGAAACACAAAGAAGCCGAATTAGGAAAGAATGAGGATGATGGGCAGGTGAGGTCACACTCCTGGTGTGAGGATGGGTTGCTTGGAAAGCTGCTGCTTCCTGGATCTCTGGAGACCAGCTATGTTATACAAATCCATACTTCTGCTACTGATGCCTCAAACAAGTTCTAAACAGCTTTCATCTTTGAGTCACAGTCATTGATTGCAAAGCCTTTCTGACCATGATTGGTCTACACTCCAGGTTGGAGGGGAAGAAGAATGGTTTTCCTTCTTTGTTTTCAGAATGGAGTGCCCCCTGCACTGGCCAGCCTCTAGCTTTTGGAATCAAAAAGTTGAACCTTAGAAACCAGAAAAAAAACTCACTTCTATGCCAAATTATGTTTTCAGGGATGGCACAGCAATACTTCTGGTAGAGGCCATTGATGAAAAAGATGTACATGGCTTTTTGCAGACTCAGATTCTGCTATCCATTTCTTAGAGCAAAAATGACAGACCTGTAGTTGACCAGGTTTTTTGCTGAACTTTAAGACTTCCTCTCAGCTGTAGGTTCTTTCAGAGTTCTTCCCAGGTTGGAAGCACCATGCTTTGCTAGTTAGATGAAGGTATAAATCAAGCTCCTAAGGTCTTTTGACAGCGTATCAACTTCCACTTACAGTATCAAAAACATATGCACTTGTACTTAATGAACAACACAAATCAGAACTTATTCTGCCCTCTAATCCTTGGCAAATTCAGGTTTGAGACATCTGGCATTTGAGGATAAGCTTAGGGGAATGTGACCTTCTACGTCTCTATCTCTACAGAATGTGAACTCGTCTGGAAAACTTTGTCTTCGATCTATTTGATGGGCAGAATTTCTTTATGGAGTTAGCTAAGATTTGAATTTTGCCTTAATCTTTTAAAATTAATCAAAAGAAAAGAATCATCCCTTTGGAGAATGTTTGTGTATTTTGGGCAAAACCACAGTCAAAGATACCATCTATTGTATTACCCAGTAGTCTCTAGTGTTCCCTGCCATTGCCTCTTGAGGTTTACTAGCTGGGGAAGAACTGTTTACTTTAGGATGGCTGCCATACTCACATGGAATTTGAAAATTCTGTGTTCATTGTAGTTGAAAGTCCAGCCCAGGATGCTGCTCTCATGCATATTAACCCTGGATAAGTAGCTCATGGTAGTCACAAGGTTTCAAAGACTGGTATATAATTTGCTTATAATAAAATTCATCCCTTTCCATTTGTACTATTGCAATTCATTTTACTATATTCACAAAGTTGTATAATCTATACTGTCTGATAACAAAATGCTTTTATTAGCCTCAGCACACTCTACCTCACCCCCAAAACAAATGGCTATTAAAGGCCAGTTTCCATTTACTCCTCCTCCAGCCCCTGATGACTACTAATCCATTTTCTGCATCTGTGGATTTTTCTACAGAGCACATTTCCCGTAAGAAGAATCATATAATATCTGCTTTTGTTTTTCACTTTTTCCATTTAGCAGTGTTTTCCAGGTTTGTCCATATTGTTGATTTATGATGCTGCAATAAATAGTCACCTGCAAGCTTTTGCATGAGCATACATTTTCAAGTTTCTTGGGTAGTAAATACTTAGAACTAGAATTACTATAGTGAATGATAACTTATATTTAATTTTTAAAGAGGAGCCAAAGTCTTTTCCAAAGGGGCTGTATCATTTCATACTCCTACCATCAAGGTATAAGTTATAATTTCTTCATATCCTTGTCAGCTCTACTCATTAAGTAATTTTTTGATAGCCAGCCTAGTGGGAATATGAACATATTTTCACTGTGATACTGATTTGTGTTTCCATAATTGATAATGATGTCCAACACATATAAAAAAATTTAGTCTTTCATTTGGGCCTTAGATTCCCAGAGAAGATAGGACTCTTTATCCTTAAGGGCTCATTCTTTTCATTTAGTGTGTATTAATATTTGCTTGCATGGATGTCTGTGAACCATGTGTATGCTTGTTGATGGTGGAAGCCAAAAGAAGATATAAGATCCCCTGGAATTGGAGTTAACAAATAGTTGTGAGCCACCATCTGACTGTTCGGAACTGAACTAGGATCTTTTGCAAAAGCAGAAGCCATACCTCCAGCCCTAGATTTTTTATTATTAATTATCTGAAAAAGCCATACATGTGGATAGTATATTTTGATCACATTCATTCCTCATTACCTTCTTTTGAGTTTATTGACTTGGGAAAATCCACCCAAGGGTTTTTTCACTTCTTGAAAAAAAATGCCTACAGTACTGAATGGATGTTTGCATGTCTTAGTAGAAGCTGCATGAAGCAAGCCCTTGGAGTGCCATGACCTTCACATGGCAGCTTTGGAGCTTTTCTGGATCATTTCTGTTGTATGCACGGGGAATTAATTTCTTATACAATCCTAAGATGTTGATAGTTAAATGTCTAGGTGGAAAGGAAATCTAGAGTTCAATGTGTATGTTTATAATGCTTCCTAGAATGTTGTATTTTGGCTAGAAGAGAATAATTTTCCTGAAAAGGTAGCCATAGGGAGAGGATTTTTAAATGTTTTTCCATGAGACAACTTGGTATCATCTTTGAAAAACAAAAGCAAGGAATTACTGTTGTTATGAAAACATATGTTTAGGGCCACTAATGGTAATCTCGACCAGGAATTTGGATATCTATTAGCAAACTGAATTTCACAGTGTGTCAGTTGAGTCTGTGAATAATTTGTGAAATTAAAGGGAAAGTTCTTGGTGAGGTAGAGAAAGTCTCCATTATTAACTGTAATGAACAAGACAGGAGCTCAAGGTAATCAGATTTGCTTTCTCTCATATTACATTTAGTTGTAAACAATTCATCATTTAAAAAGATTTCCACCAGTGCTTATCAAATAAAATCCAGCTTCCCTGAGTTCTACAGAGCAAAATACTGTCCAGAGCCAACCCTTACCCTTTTGGTTTTGACCCTAGTAATAACAGGACCAACATGAACCATGACATTCAGGAGAAGGAATTTATTTTGATCCACACGTCTCCTAGAATATCACATTCCCAGGTCATTCCGATGGTTAGGCATTGATTTGGACATGAATGTGAATGAGAACTGGGCAAATAAGAACATGGTGCAACTTGAGTGACCTTCAACAGTTGGCCCAAGAGAACTTGAGTTGTTTATACTGGAAGTTGTTACATGGCAGCGTCATTTTGAAATTGCACCAGACAACTCTTAGAGATGGCTTAATTTCGGATCTTAGGTCTTCTCATGTTGTCTTTAAAAATTACCTCCAAGTCAGCAGTAATATGCTATCTTCACCTCAAAACTATGTATCTTTTCTTATTATATTACAATATGAATAGAAAAAGTTCAGTTCCTTTATTCTAGCATTTTATAAAATACCAATCCCTGTTGTACTCTACCAATATTCAAGCATCCCCTTCTTTTGCACTAAATATTAGACATTCTAATCTGACTATTGATGTTCTAACACTCTGAATTCATTCCAACTAGGGCAGTCTTCCCTCCCTGGTCTTTCTACCTGTTTGAATACTACTGGGGCTCACCCATTTAATAACCATAAGTCAAGTTTAATTTTAGAATCCTGCCTTAAATTTTTTACATTACCCAAAAGCCACATACAAAGGACTGTGTAGATTCCTAATGTCACGGCATAGCAATCATTTGAAATAAAATATTCCAGTTAATGACCCTAGGCAAACAATTTATCTGCAGTCCCCTTCTTCTTCGGAACACACTTCCCTTCCTTCTCATTCTCTTGTTCACTATCCACTTATCCCTGGGAGACAAATGAGTGCTAACATTTTTAAACAGGACCTTCTCTTCTTGGCTGAGGTGAAGGTATATTAATCAAAACCAGATGAAAGTGCCTCACTCCCAGACTCTTGTGAGCTGTATGGAGATACTTAAAAGTTCTTCAGCAAGTTTTGTTTTAGTCGGAACTTCTTTCCTTTTTGGTTACAATATTGATTGGATGTTTGGTTTATAGCTATGAGGAAGCTAGTCACCTGACCTAAAGAAAAGTCAGTTGAGAAGGAGAAAACCACTACTTTATCTTCCTCCCTCCCTAGATGCAAAAGGAAATGGACGTGTGTAAGTTCTTGCTGTCCTCCAGAGTCTATTGTCCTATGCAAGTGTGTAAGCTCTTGCTATTCTCTTGATGTCTAGGTACAGGGGCCTTGTCTTTTGGAAACATACTCATTTGCATTCTTAAAGTAAGCAAGGCCAGTTATAACAGGATCATGGGGCACTGGTAACTTCTAGCTTTAAACAATGATAAAAATAAGCTGAAAAATGATCAGCATTTTCTTTAAAACCAAAACAAGGGGCTGTCAATAAAATGATTTAGTTAAAATGCTTGAGTCTCATATATCAAAAAGGCAAAGGCATGCCCCAAAATGTCTTCTTTAACTAAGTTATCAAAAAAGATATGGGAGTTTCCAACAGAATATCCAAGTGTTTAGTCATGAGACCTGTGAATTCATTATGATTATCAGTGAGCCCTGTGTATCCGCTGAATCTTCTTAGTAACAAGCTATAGGCGGCATTACCAGTGTTATTCAGTTTTGTGCATGAGAAACATCTCAAGTGTTTCAGAATGCATGGACAACTAATTTTTACAATAAAACTCTCTTCTCCTTAATGATGGGTTTCTCAAACTTTCCATTTGATGTAGTAGATAATTGCTTTTTTGTTGGAAGTTTGAGAGTGAATGATAAGGAACACAACGTGTGATACTTTGTGGGCCTTTTCCCAAAGTAACTAACGGGTCTGGTCCTTTAGATATGAATCACCTGAGGGAAAAACTAATTAAATCAAAAAGGATGGGGTTTTGTATAAAGACCTAAATTCTTCGATACCTAAGGTTTTAAATATTAAAAAACAATGGAAGCATCTTAATTAGTGAAACTGAATAATACAACCACTGGAAAGTGTCTGTGAAAACTGAGTGAGAATATACAGAACATGATGAAATTACACCAATACATTTTCTAAGTCCTTCTTAATTTTCAGTGCATGAAGTTTTGTGATATATTGGGGAAAATCCACTTACAATTGTTTTTGGGTTTTGGAAACAGGGTTTCTCTGTGTAGCCCTCGTTGTCCTGGAACTCACTCTGTAGAATAGGCTGGCCTCGAACTCAAGAGATCTGCCTGCTTCTGTCCCGTAAGTGCTGAGACTAAAGATGTGCATCACCACTGCCCAGCCCACTTACAATTTTAAAATATATAAGTAGTATTTGGCCTTTGATTTTTCTGTACTTCAGGGCCTAGTTATATTTCAGGATTATAATGAAGAAGAAAGACAGAAAAAAAAGATAAACTTCATTGTTTACTTTTGATTTCTGCTTTTAGGTTTTGGAAGTTTTAACTTTTAGACATTAGAATTGTAACACCCCATGGTGTTCAAATGTCAACAGAGAAAAATGACTAAAGTAGCTGCAGTAATTTGTTATTGCCTATGTATACTTTTACTAACTCCCTCCCCATTTGCTAATCATGGTCTATTCCAAATTCTCCTGAATGAATTTCTTTTCTTGAAATATTGATTTTCAATGTGATATATACTTAAAACAAATGAGAACTAAATAACAATAACACCTGTAGAAAGAGCATTATACTTGGAATATTTACCTAGCATTTGCCTTGTATCAGAGAACCATCTGTGACTGAACGGACACAAGGACAGGCAGGGCAGCACTGGCTGAGCTTGCACTCGAGCTGGGAGAATCTCAATGGGACCACCTTGCAGAAGCTGCTGGTGCACAGGTAAGAACAGCTCCATAGCAACCATGTGTATGCACATTATGGAGCAAGGGCTGATCAAGGGCACTTCCTCCATGTTTAACACAAAAACACTCAGATAGCTTTCAGTAAATAACTTTCACAGAACATCTGTTAATCTTTACATTTCAACATTTATTTCCTCTTCATAGATAGGATTAATTTTGACAAGTTTCATATTTAATTGGAACTACTGGAACCATTATGTGAGGGGAAGAACTTCAGATCTAATCTTAAGTCTCAAGATGTCTTGTTTTGAAATGAACTCTCATAACTGCATTCCCTACAGATACTGTGTTGGACTAGTTAACAGGAGAAATTAAGCAATAGTGTTAAAAAGTTAGAGCTTGAGAAAATAATAAACACAAAGTAAAACTGAGGTCATGAAACCTTGAAAGTCTTCTCCTCTTAACTGATGACATACTAAACAAGTTCGTCTCCTTTGATTATTGAGGCCACAGAGGAATGTTTTCATTTTTGTACTGGGCATGTGAGAGTATATGCACGTAAGTGCAGGTGCTCACGCATGAGGCCAGAGGATGTCAGGTTCCCAGACCTCCGAGTAACAGGCCTCCTGATGTCAATTCTGAGTACAGAACTCAGGTCCTCAGCAAAAGAGTGCTACATACATTCAGCTGCCAAGCCACCTATCCACCCTCCTCCTTTTTAAATGATTTATTTTGATTTTTAATAAGAACATTTTGGGGGTCCTGAGGCTCAAAGCTAACGTTTTATACATGCTGGGCAATTACTCTTCCACTGAGCTATATTCCCAAGGAATGATGTCTTCTTGGATACTTACTACATTACAAGTAACTAGTCAGGTTGTCTTATCTAGACTGATTCATGAATTCCTTACAATAAACTCCTGAATTATGATTATGGAGCCCTTGCTCCATAATGTGCATACACATGGTTGCTTATTTTAATAGCTGAGGAAAGTGTGGGTTAGGTTTAAGGATATTTAAACCACTATGTCAAAGATCATAGCCTGCATAGAGTAAGTGATGGTAAGCTCAAGTTAATTTATCTGACTACAAAGCATAATTTCTAGGTACATCACATCTTAAGAACCCTAAAGAAGAAACTAAAGGTGGCTTTTCACCCATCATAAAATCTTAAGTTTTTCTCATTGGTCAAATTTAACCCCCAGATTTCTTAATACTTTGTCAAATGAAATACTTTCTCCAAACCAATGACCTAAATATTTCAACACAACGATGTTCCTCTAAGCTGGGTGTGGTAAAAGCCCTTCAGGTCAAATAAATGAATAAATAACCATCCACTTTGAGGTTTTGTAGACCTGGCTCACTAACTAAATGAGATATTATGTAACAAGTTTGCTACAAGGAGTGGGGTGGGTAATCTTTATGAGTCTCTACCCAAAAGCCATAATTTTAAAAAATACAATAATTCATAACTCATTTTTGAGTGTCATTTTCATACTATATCCAGGGCTAGTCTCAGAAAGGTTATAGATGTAAATGAAAGGAAAGAAAGATTTGATCCCAAGGAATATATATCAGTTGAGTACATTTCCAGATTTGAAGGCAGTGTCTAACATCATTTCAGATATCAAGGGTACAAGGCTTAGAGTCCTAGCTCAGTTGATAAAGTGCCTGCTGTCTAAACACAAAGGCCTGAACTTCGAGCCCTGGCATTAATGCTAAAAAGATCTGGAAGTGTACATAATTTCAGTACAGGGAGATGGAGACAGGAGAATCCCCAGGGCTTGCTGGGTAGATGCTCTAGCCAAATCAGTGAGCTCTAAGTTTAATAATAGATCCTGTCTAAAAGATGTTGTGAATGACTAAGGAAGACACAAACCAAAAATGGCATCTAGCCTCTACATACTAAGCACACATGTACACACACAAAAATACATACAAATGCATGCTATACCCCTTGGGATTATATAGAATAAATTCAAGCTCACTTTTTTCCTGTCACGTCTTCTACAGTTTAACCTTGGCAGTCTGGGAAATATGTTTTTCTAGTCTAAGTATCCTATTCCTTTATTTTCTTATATCCTAGAGATATAAAGCAATATTTTATTCCTCTCAGCCTGTATCTCAGGTTTTTTGGGGGGCATGGAGCATATATCTGACATGTTCATCCTTCACCATAGATTCTATCAAATAAGATGATGTAAATTCATGATAGGAATTTTTTTTCCACAAATGTCACACCTTGTTATGATATCAAATAAATAAGTAGTGTGCATTCTCCCATTGAAGGCTCTGACTATACCTGTGTCCTGAGAAGTCTTGCAGCAAGACAACTGTGCTCAGAGAGTTTGAAACTCCCCTGATAGTGGACCCTGTATTGCCTGACTTTGATAACATGCTTCAGGTAAACAGTAAGCATATAACTTAATATTATAACATTTTATGTTTCCAAACCTAGGCAGTCCTGTCCAAGCCGAAGTAAGATTTCCCTTCTGTGTACTAAGCAAGGTGAGATTGGTGGTATATCATGGGACGTGACATTAATTTAACTGTGCTGGCACCTGGGAAACAGGAACATTTATGCATGACAACCAGAGCTCAGAATCTAGTTGGGTCTGGTGAATCATGGTCTGTGATTTCTGCTCCTTGTTAGACTGCGGTCACCGTCCTGCTGCACGAATGAACAAGAGGATCCTTGGAGGTCGGACTAGTCGTCCTGGGAGGTGGCCCTGGCAATGCTCTCTGCAGAGTGAACCCAGTGGACACATCTGTGGCTGTGTCCTCATTGCCAAGAAGTGGGTTCTAACAGTCGCCCACTGCTTTGAGGGGTAAGCTGCACTCTTCCGTTTTACTTTTCTCTGGGTCTTATCATTTTGTCGCTTGGAAAGTCTTGGTGGTGTATGTAACTCCATGAAGTCATTTCAGTGCAATTATCATAGCCACTCTTTCCCGGGTCTTTACATGTGGAGATCTTTCTGCCCTTTTTATCTTCTGCTCACTAATGGCGAGTGGCTATATGGTGCTTAGAATGTATGTGCTCAGGAGGGAGGAGGAAAATGAAGAAGTTCAGAGGACAGATCCCCAAGCCCAGTTCAGCCTCTGTTCTGGACATCTTAAGTGTATTTTACACATATGAATACACATGGAAATGGTTTGTTTGGAAACTGCATGAGGTTTAAATGAACAACTAGTAGGTAGTTTTGGAAGTAGAATTAAAGGTATAATATTTGTGTTAGGTTTCTCAAAGACACAGAACCAGCACTTTGTCCCAATAATATCTTCCTCACAAGCTTTGTGTGGGCCAGAAGTGAGGTAATCTACTTAAAACCTTAGGAACCATGCCCGGAAGCAACTAGTAAGACTAAAAATGTGTATGTATCTTTAAAAAGGTACTGCTGTAAACATACATTGTACATTTCTCCCTGCCAGTGTGGTCTGAGTATGCTTGCATTTCTTGCAGTCATTATTTAGCCCCTCCCATACTTCCTTTCTGTTACTTCCTTACCATTCTAAATGCAAGTAACCCTTGTTACAGCATGGTGAACACTTCTCCGTGACCCCGTTGTCCACATGGTGCCGTTGTTGATTTCCACAATTTGAAATGACGCTTTGTACATTGCTAATGTTCTTCTCTTTTGGAAATATAACATGGGCATCCCTCTAGGTCACTTCTTGTAGCACTATTGCATTCTTTTGGAAGCTAAGCACTATTCTGTATAGGCATATGAATTTTCTACTAGTCTTCAGTTGATGAATATTTGAGATACTTTCAATTTGCTATTATTATAACAATGCTGTGGGGGAAAGCTCCTTCTTATGCAAAGCTAGTCTCTACCTTTAGAGTTATTGTCTCTCACTGGTCATTGTTGTAGTTCACAGGTAAGACTGTTGATTGCGTCCCTCCTTTAGAAGTTTTCATGTCACTTCCTGACATTACAAAAGCTAATCTTTCAAATAATACCCAGCTCAAAGCCCTTTGAATATGTCTCAAGTACATGGTCCTCCACCTCTGGGGAGTAGCCAAGGGCAATAGAAATAGCCTATGAAGTTTTGGGAGTCTCTTGGATAGCCCCAACCAACAAAGATGACAGATAGTTAAACATGCATTCTTAGTATTTGACAAATGATGATAAAATGAAAAAAAATGTGATAAATTTGATCACTCCATTGGGAAAAAATAATACATAAGTATCAAAAGTACCTTCTCTTGAGAATTTTCATATGTTAGACCCAGAATGATTGGAAGCTCCACGAGTATGTCTAGAAATACACTATGATGGTATTGCTTTAGAAGAGGCCAGATGTTTCCAGATGTCTTTTCCAGTTCTGATTTGTAGCCCACAGCAAGCAGAAGGTTACTCCAGCCAAGCACATCCATCACTGGTGATTGCCTAAATGAATCCACGGCTCTTCAAGGGAGCAACGCTCCTAATGTGCTTGCTTATTAATCCAAGTTTACGGGCTGCTCTTGCTGTTTCCACATGTGATATCAAAGTTTCTCCTGCACTGGAGGACCCATACAGTGAGGAGGGAAGCTTGCAAGCCATGTGTTTATAATTAATGACTTAAAAATGTTACCAAAAACCTTGCAGAAATTTTGTGGAATACAAAATGTAACAAGTGTCAAGAGGGGCCTGTTCATCTATACAAGGCTAGGGATTGCCCAACTTCAAACAAGCGCTTGCTTGACTGTGTACTCATAACCTAATTCTGTTTTATGGTCTCTCCAGTGGCACTGCAGGCTTTTCAGAACTTTTAATTGTCAGGCATATTCTCTGCTGGGGCCATCAGTTGCTGCAATTATTGGGATTTACTTCATATCCTGATCCCATACTCTGGCACGGCATAACATGATCCATCTGTGGGCCTTTTCATCCTGTCTCTTTTAATTATATTGGTGGGAACGGAAAGACAATTTGCTTTGCATTTCCACGGAGAGGTATTTAAAATTACCAAATAGAAATTAAAACAATGAGATAATAAGTTGACCAGATCAAGCCCCATATGCCCCAATACCAATTCAACTTAAAAGTTTATAAGGAGGAAAAAAAGAGAAACTTTGGCATTCAGTGGTAACTTAACAGGCTATTCTCTCCCCTGCTTCACCCTTGAAAAACTAAAGCATGAACTTCCTGGGCCAGCTCATCAGTGATTAATGATCAAAGCTTCTAATTCCTTCCCAGGAAGCTTGGATGCAAGGCAGCATGTCCACAACCTTTAACCCTGTCATGTCTCTTGTGTCTTGATTTCTACCACCCCAGCCATCCCAGAATTTTGGCTGTATGTCTGCATCTCTGCCCATATTACCTAGTGTTCGTTCTCTCCCCTCAACATTTATGGTCCCATAGGTCCAAAAGAACATCTGTTTTGGAACTTCAGCATTTTCATCCTTGGATCTTTATGCCGGATAAAAGCAGGAAGATCTCCAAGGTGAAGAGCACACTTTGTAATTTTTTTCATGTTCTTAAGAACAGAAACTGAACACTATACTCAAAAAGAGAGAGAAAAGAAGATGATGATGATTTGTGCCATGTCTGACTTTCAACATCAATTGGAGCTTTTATAATCCCCGAGGATCTTTCCATCTAACTCTAGGAAACTCCTCTTATTTGTCACAGAACAAACCATGTCCTTAATGTAACAACTCTCCTGGTCTGACAGCTTTATAATTCACCCAGAAAGGGAATTACTGATGGCTGTGTTGTGTCCTCATGATTACCCCTTCATCATGGTGTTTATGAACTAGGTCAGTCACTCACAATTTTTCCATTTCATCTTCTGGCACGATTTGATACATTCCCATCAGTAAAAATATTCACAAACACAGAATTTCTCAGTTTTGGACTCATACTTCCCTTGTGGTACTATTCTCAATATGATTGAAGTGTAAGCAAATGTGGTTTTAAAAACTTCTTGGTGACTGCAATCTGGATCCATGCTCCCCACTGTTCTGTCTCTTATAGAGATATTTCAATCTTCTCTCCACAACAAAAGAAGAAGTCTATAAAGTAGTTGACCTGAATTACCAATTACCAATTACCATAGTCTCTGGAACTTGTAACACTAACCGCTTCCCTTCTACTTTTGATTAAAAGAAACTTTAGTCAAATTAAGTTTGGCAAAGTTTAGTCAGAAAAAGAATGGTTGTGCATTGGTAAACCTTCAGAACCAGAAGAAATAGAAACTTACTGTTTCGGGTGTTATCACTTCCTTTTCCAGTATGCCACACCTGGGACAGAAAAGTTGACCATTGTTGGAGAACATCATACACCCAGTTGCTAACTGATCTCATGTCAAATGTGTGATGCCGAGCCTCAAATGAGCATCTAACTAATGCAATGGATACTTTTATAGTAAAGCCTTTTTTCACCCCAAGATATAGTAATTATTTGACAGCTTTTGTCTCAACAAGTCCCCATTATTAATAGCGATCTCACCGCATATATCATGAATAATATAGATATCATTCTGCCATATCATTTATCTTGTCTTATCCCTAGTTCCAAAAATTTCCTAATATCTTTGGCCATTTTTCCTGTTTTGTGTTTGGTTGTGGTGGGTGATGTGCCTCTTCCGGTTAGCTGTTCCTTTTTAGTTTTTCATAGACTTTACTCCTGATAGTATCATTCTACTCTGATAAGTTTCTCCCTGGGGCTGGACAGTTCCTTTCACATCTGTGCCTTAACCTCACTGACATAAAAGCCCCTCTCTTTACTTTTTCTTTTTTGTTTGTTTGTTTTGTTTTGTTTTTTGTTTTTGGAGACAGGGTTTCTCTGTGTAGCTTTGGAGCCTATCCTGGCACTCACTCTGGAGACCAGGCTGGCCTTGAACTCAGAGAGATCTACCTGCCTCTGCCTCCCGAGTGCTGGATTAAAGGCGTGTGCCACCAACGCCTGGCCTTTACTTCTATCTTCAACTATTGCTCCATTTTGATCACTGTTCATTGGAGGACTCCTAAAATGTCTGCTATAGTTACCCTTTCCAGTTAAGAAATGATGCTTACTGGAACTTGGTAACACTGTCCACCTTGTCGAATCCCACTAGTGGGTTTTCAGTTTTAGCCCACTGGAATCTCCCTTACCATCTACTCACTGTATCCTTCTTGGAATAACTTTCTCTTTGTTTGTTCTAGAACAGTGAAAAATCTCTTGGCTTTCATCCTGTTTTCGTGACTTACTGTTTTCTTTTTCCAGCTTCTCCTATTTTGGGACCACTGAATGTTCCAAGGCTTACTGCCTGGCTTTCTTATCTGTCTTCAGTTACTGATCCAATTTTATGCCATATTCCAGCAAATATGAATGTTGGGTATTATCATATTTAAATATCAAGTATTAAATATCAAGTATTCATATTTAAATATCAAGTATTCTTAATGGTAGGAAATTAATTTCAAATTTGTATTTCCTGCCCATCCTACCTTTCCTCCCAATCAACTACCATTACCATCTACTACTACTACTACTACACACACACACACACACATGCACATACACACACACACACACACACACACACACACACACACTTACTGCTTAGAAAAGATGTCCACTGAAGTGCAATGAAGACCCTACTGTACATGGCTATTGATTCCTCTTGTCTTTCAACGATCAGCCAGTGGGTCAGTAGTCTCTCATCAACTCTTCCCAAATACTGAACTGTTCAATATTTCAGTGTAGTAAGCACGCACATATTCAATCACACAGAAGATGAATTTTATGCATATCATCTGCAAATCATTTTTGAATGGAGAGGTGGAAGCAGGGAGAGTTATCGGCAGAAAGCTCTGCTTGGATTTAGTTATATCTATTAACATGAAATGAGCTGTAACAGACAGCACTTTTCACGGAGGAGCCATTTCCATTTCCTACATTTTTCTTTTGAAACAAACTCCTACTCATTTTATGGCTAAGACTTTCGATAATTGCTGTCGTTTCATACTATTCTATTCTAGACTCCAATTTCACAGTGCTCAGATCCATATGTACTTAAATATTAACTATTTTGATATTTCTTCCTTTCCCCCATTTACTGTGATCACTTATGATGGTAGAATACAGAGAGTGAATGCTAATATTTCTACTTAGCTGTGTTAGTTTTGGGAGTTTGTGGATACATTATAATGCCTGCATTTTCCTTCCTTCTTTCTTTCCTATTTTCCTTCCTGTCTTCCTTTCTTCCTCTTTTCCTTCCTTCCATTCTCCATTCTGTTTTCCTTCACTTCTCAAAAATCCTCTCAAATATAGTTACTAAAGGACACACATGCACACGCACATGCACGTGAGCACTTATGCCCTTCTGTTAATATTTCTGGGCCCTTGCCTTACAGAGCTATGAACTTTCTGTAGACTTATGTGACTTTCCATTAAGTATTCCCATATACTTCTCATTTTACATTTGCTTGAAATGGTCTCTCAGTGGTCTGGAACTTGCCAAGTAGTGTAGGCTGACTTACCAGCAGGCTCCAGAGATCTGTCTTGTCTTCCCCCTCCCAGTTGAGTTTAGAAATGCACATGACCACTCTTTTTCCTGGTGTGAGTTCTGGGAACCTAATTCAGATCCTTGTGCTTACAAAGCAAGCACTTTTATATCAGAGCAATCCTCTCAGCTCCTGGATCCAGAGAACCTTGGCATAAATATCACTAAAGATGATACAGTTCTCTTTGATGCGAGGTTGGCATCCAAATGGGAAGGAGTCTTCTTTATGTTGTGGATTTTAAGGCCATATCCTTGTCTCTTTGTATTGTGATTTCCCCCTTTAACTTTATAACTATGTGCTGTTTGTCACTGGGCATCCATGTAGCCTAGGACTCTTCCCCCTATCGTCTTCCTTCTAGAGACAGGGCTGCCCATGCCCTCGTTCCTGACTCTTTTTTCCTCTAGCACATGCTCAGTGTGTTTCATGTCATGGTAAACATACTGAGTAAACATTTACCATGGCATGAAAAATGACTTGTTGACATAATGAAATCAGTCCACCATTCATACACTTCTTCTTAACTTCAGAAACTACTTTCTGCTTTCTCGGTTCTCTTCTTCCACAGCTATGGAGGAAGAACATTAAGAAGCACTTCACATTTCATATCATATGCATAACAAAACAGAAAGGGATAATTTTGTCTACCTTTTCCCTTTCTCGCTCTTGGTGGATATTAATGTGGTGAGAATGCTAGACTGTGTATCAAGACTCCTGAAAGTAACTTAATAACAGTTTTTGGTTTTATTGACCCCCAAGTTTTAATTTAATTTTAAATTAACCCCAATATAATCAATTAAGTACTGAATTTTAATGTTATTTCATTTTATTACAAATAATTAAGAATGGTCAATTATTTTAAATATTGCTTATGTCTTAAGCAGAAGGTGAACTGTTGTAATAACTAGAGCTATTAAGAATGTTCAATTACTTTAAATATTGCTTATGACTTAATCAGAGGGTGAACTGTTGTAATAACTAGAGCTAAGTTGTGGTTCTGAGATAAGAAGCTTCCATTGAAGCAATTAATAAAATATTCTGAAATAATATTGTTGACTTCAGATGTCTCAAACAATAAAGTTCAATGTATATGTGGCATTTCCTCAATGGCCATGTAGACTTACTCCTGTAAACTAGGGAAAACAAGTAACAAAAGGCTGGAGAAAGGGAGGAAAGATGAAAGGAGGGACGTGTGCACTTTAAGTGACAGCGTTATGTAATGAAACATAATTTTATAACATTATTTTGCCATGCCAGGGACATGGCACTTCCTCCAACTTATTATAGTCATTTCATGAATTAGCCATTTCCACTCATAATTTGTATAGGCAGAGGTCATGCCTTTCTTGCTTGTTGTAATCTCTAACATAACGCTTGACCTAGAAAAATTACAATTTATCGAATCCATGACATCATTTTTGTAGGCTTGACATTATTTTTTTAAAACAAATTGTGAAAGTACAGAATGTGTGACTGTGTACAGCTGTTTAGTGAAGTTTGAGCCAAAGATCTAATGGTACTGAAATAAGCTTGAATGTTGGAGCCAGGAGATCCTGCCCCATGTTGATTTCCTATCAAGTGATATAGTGGAGATGTGTAAAGAATTGGTACTTCAATATCTCTCCAAATGATTCCATGTTTACCCTAGCATAACAGATGACTGGTCTACATGATGAGATCAATCTACTATAACTGATTTGACCAGAAGCTGCAAGTGAGGAAGCATGGTACAACGGCTAGTTCTTTGTACCATAGTATAAGAGAGTGCCCACAAAATGAATAACCTCTTAACACTATTATCCAACAAATATTCAAAACTCTGACTGTAGTCTACTCTGGACAACAAGGGTCTGTAAAAGTAGGAGAGCATGAAGCGATTAAAAGAGACTTTGTTTACATGTTCAGAGTCTATTAATAATGCTTTAAAATAATTTAGACTAAGTGCTTATTAGAACCCATTATTTGCCTTGTCCCACACATAGATGTAGCAATAGGACCAATAAGGTCCCCATTATACTAGGGATCTAAAATGTGCCCCCTCTTTTGATTATTTATTTATTTTTGTCAACTTGACACAAACTAGTGTTATCTTGAAAGAGGGCCTACTTCAGTTGAGAAGATTCCTCCATCAGATTGCCTGGAGAGCATTTTCTCAATGATTGATGTGGGAGGGCCCAGTCCACTGTGGGCAGAGCCACCCCAGGCAGGTGGCCCAGAGTTGTATAAGAAAATGAGCCGAGCAATTCATGGAGAGCAAACTAGTAAGCAGTGTTCCTTTGTGGCTTCTGTTTCAATTCCTGCCTTCAGGTTCCTGCTTTGGCTTCCTTCTTTCAATGAACCCAGAATTTAAGGCCAACAAACTCTCTCCTCCCCAAATTGATTTTTGTCATGTTCCCTATCACAGCAACTAGACTAATTAAGACATCCACTAGGCTCATACTTTGAACATTTATACTCCAGCTGGTGGTACTATATTGGAAGGCTGTGAACTCATTAGGAGTTAGGGGCTAGAAGTAGATGGGCCTTTGAAAGTTATAACCTGGCCTCTGGTTGTACCTTTGCTTTCACTTTCTGAGCTGCCATAATATGAGGGGCTTTACCATACACACCTTCCCTATCACAGTGGACTGAAATCCTCTGAAGCCATGAACCAAAATAAATTTTTCTCCATTTAAGCCATGCTTGTGGTATGGTCACAGCTATGTGAAAGCACTAACATAGTTCTTGTTTTCACTGATATAAAACTCTGTGGGGTAGGAGAGGGCAAGACAGAGTAGACAGATCTATTAATTTAAAATGTCATTGATAACCATCAGAACCATGAGAACCGTGAGAAGGAAATTAAAGCATGTTCATGAGCAGAGAACAATAGAGAAGGTAGACTAGCATGGTGCAGGGTGTACAGTAAAAGTAGGAGTGAGGAGGACTCTCTGATGCCTGCAATGTTGGCTTTACAAGAGAAATGATTCAGTCACTGGTGATAGGAAGCATTTGATTACTGAAAATAAATTCTGAATGCTTAAACATCACCAATCATGTGGATGACACTTGACCCATCTTGGTCATTATCAAACACCCAAGTGAATGTGTTTAATAGACAATTGGATCAAGCTTGTGATTCAGGTCAGAGAATTAGCTCATGATATACACTTAGGAGTCACCAGAGTAAGGTTTATTTAAAACCATGGGGTTATATGAAATTATCAAGGGAGTGTGGAGTGCACAGAGAATGGGGAGGAAGTGACCCAGAGCATGTCAATATTGACATCAAGAGTGTGGGCAAAGAACCCAGAAGAAAAGAAAGGTAGGCAGGGGGCAGTGAGCAACATATGAGGTGGGGGGAGGGAATTCTAAAGAGTAATAAGACCTGTAAACTTGGGGAGAAAGTTAATTTTAAGGTAAAATTGTCTAAAATACTGATGATAAATGCTCTCCTAAAATGGAACCTGAGATTTACCATTGGGGTTTGAAAGTGGTCATTTTAAACTCTGACTTTGAAATTTGAAATTTGCAAATAGCTGCCCTGAAGACTTGACACTTCCCTGAGGTGTTTGTTCTTCCTTGGAATGGCCTCTTAGTCTTGACCCCCCCCCATTCTCCTTTCTCAACCCCTCCCACCCCTGCTCCTCTTTCTCTTAATTTTAAATTGCCATTCTTATGCTATGAAACAGTTAACTGGCCCTAAGACCAAACAAGTTCTATTTTCAAGAATACCCTATTCAAGAAGGCTGAGTGCTTGTTACCAAAATTGCAATGATACATGGGAGATTAGCATGGCCCTACACTAAGATGATGATTGGAGAAGTAGTCCATATTTAAAAAAAAAAATTAAAGAAATAACGAAGTCTGAGCTTTGCATCCTCATGATACATGGGAGATTAGCATGGCCCTACACTAAGATGATGATTGGAGAAGCAGTCCAAATTTAAAAAAAAAATAAAGAAATAACGAAGTCTGAGCTTTGCATCCTCACATTATAATACTCAGCTATTTATTTCTTGGGCCATTGTGTGACCACTTCTTATGTGAATATATTAGAGGATTGGCTTGGGACTAGCCATTGTTTATAGTAAAAAAAATACTTTTAAAAGCATGTTCAATCAAAGCAGGTAGACTTGAAGGTACTCTTGAATTGTTTTAGGAGAGAGGATGCTGATATTTGGAAGGTGGTATTTGGCATAAACAACCTGGACCATCCATCAGTCTTCATGCAGACCCGCTTTGTGAAAACCATCCTGCTACATCCCCGTTATAATCGAGCGGTGGTGGACTATGACATCAGCGTGGTGGAGCTGAGCGATGACATCCATGAGACAAGCTACATCAGACCTGTTTGCTTACCCAGCCCAGAGGAGTTTCTGGAACCAGATACATACTGCTACATCACAGGCTGGGGCCACATGGGTAACAAAAGTAAGCCAGGGTCATCGGCAATGCAAATTGCCCTTTCAGCTCATAATGGAAAAGCACTAGGCTTCCTTCTAGGCTTTGGCTACCATTTCCCATTTTACTTGTACATCACAGTCATACGGGGTAAATGCTTTGACTGTGTTATGTTCTTTCTTCCTCCTAAGCCAGTTGTAAGCATGCCTTCTAGGCTTTGGCTACCATTTCCCATTTTACTTGTACATCACAGTCACACAGGGTAAATGCTTTGACTGTGTTATGTTCTTTCTTCCTTCTAAGCCAGTTGTAAGCATTAAGAACCCGTCATAACACATAAACCTGCCTACCTGAAAAGAAAATGTAAACCCCCTTCCCCACATCTCTGACTCTTTCTCCAGGGAGCTACTACCAATGTTTTGGACCTTCTATGCAAGGTGAACTGACAGACATCCCTGCTAGAGAGAGCAATGGTTTGGGCTATCTCTTGGCAGAATTTCCCAGAGGTTGTGTGGAATAACTAGGCAATTCCATTTCTGCAGTCAAGTTACACGATCACATTTTCAATTCTGTAGTTGATTTGTTCTTATCTACATATATAGTATTTCCTTTTTAAAAATTTATTTATTTATTTTTATTTTATTCTTTTATTAGTTCAAATTAGGAACAAGCTTGCTTCACATGTCAATCTCTTCTCCCTCTCCCTCCCGTACCCCCAACATCCACCTGCCCCTAGCCATCCCCCCACCACTCCCCAGGCAGGGTAAGGCCCTCAAAAGGGGCTCCCCAAAGTCTACCACATCATCCTGGGCCAGGCCTAGGCCCTTCCCCATGTGTCCAGGCCAAGAGAGCATCCCTTCACAAGGAATGGGCTCTCAAAATCCCTTCTTTTTTTTTTTTTTAAGACCTTACATATTTAATACAGTGCGTTATCCCTGTACAAATGGAAAAAAATTAAGTTCAACATTTCTAAACCAATATGACTGTTATAGTATATCCTTCTATAAAGAAATGTGATGCATAGCTTACTATTTAAATTGCTTAAATTTGATTTTATAACAAGTGATTTGAACACACAACACATAGAAATGAATTCTCTTTTAACCACTTACTCTCAATCTCCCTAAAGGACATTTGCATGTAGTTTGACCTATTTAAAGTTTAGAATAAGAACTGAGCCAATAAAATAGTTGCATCAGATGCAGGAGTAGGCCATGCTTTTCAGAACTGGCCTCCTGGCATCTTGATATTAACCATAGGAACACCAATGTAAAAGAACTTGTTTTCTCATTGAAATTTAGTCAGATTTTTTGAGTTGGTTCTTTTCTGTATGACAAGAAAAATGATGAGAAGGAAGTGTTTATAGACATCAATGACTCAAGAAAATCTTCTGTAAGCATCTTGAAGGCAGTGTTGCCTTACAATGCCACACATGTTGCTTTTTAAAAACTACGGTTAATACTGTATTGAAATGAGAAATATGTACTTCATAGAGTCTCTATTTGTGTTCTTCACAAAATATCTATATAAACTTATAGTAATAGGGTACCATAGAGCTTAAACAGCAGTTAGGAAATAGCGTGAACACCAGACAATGGACTTCATTCAGGAAGATCCAGTTGGCCTCAGCTGTTCTAGTCTCTTGCCTTCCACAAAAGGCACATAAACACATAGGATTGTTACACTGAGGAAAAGCATTTGTGGTCCAGAAGATGCTGATGGTATGTGCCTCACCTACCCTAGTGTGAGCCATGCTGGCTGCTGTCTCATTATCATTATCATTCTGATGACTTGTTAAACTTCTACTATATCACATTTATTTTTCCCCAAATGTTGAGTATTAATTATTAGCACTGCTTGTCCATTGCTTCTTCAAAGAACAGTCTGTATGATTTTCAGGATTTATGAGGTTTTGCTTGAAGACAACTACTATTATTCTTGAAAAACTTTAAGCAAGACAGAAATCATATATTCTGCCTATTGTAAAAAGAAATGATATCATCCGTTTCAAGTCTTTCTAACATAGCCTCTAGGAGTAAAGGTTCAACATCAGAACAATGGCCACAGGGGCACATGTGAGGTGGGCCTCTCCCTATGAGGGTTAGCAGGTTTTCTCTGATCCTAGAGAGCATGACAGATATGCTGAGCTCTGTCTTGTTTTTCCCCTTTTCATTGTTAAAGTTGTTTTTCCATAGCATATGACAAGGGGGAAACAATTTCAACACTTCTGCCACACTAGACAGATAAGGAGTTTCACTAGATGATTGTTATTGAAAGCTTTTAATCAAACAACTGGGTTTCAAACTAGTCTTTGCCTTGAGATGGTTTTTTTTTTTTTTAAGCTTTTAATCAAACAACTGGGTTTCAAACTAGTCTTTGCCTTGAGATGATTTTTTTTTTTAAAAAAACAGGGTTTCTCTGTATAGCCCTGGCTGTTCCAGAACTCACTCTGTAGATCAGGTTGTCCTTGAACTCACAGAGATCTGCCTGCCTCTGCCCCCTGAGTGCTGGGATTAAAGGTGTGCACCACTACCAGTAGGTTTGAAGATGATATTTAAGGGGAAAGAAATGGTTCTCGGTATATGAAAATATTCCTGTAATATTGTTCATTTTGTATTTTGAGTAACTTTTATGCTTTTGTGCATTTTATGTTTCCTCTTTTCAAATGCAGTGCCCTTTAAGCTGCAGGAGGGAGAAGTCCGCATTATTCCTCTGGAGCGGTGCCAGTCCTATTTTGACATGAAGACCATCACCAGTCGGATGATATGTGCTGGCTACGAGTCTGGCACCGTAGACTCATGCATGGTAAGTTGCCTTCTGACTATGCCAGCAATCAGAATTCATTGCGACTTTGGTGTGCTTGCATAGCTCATTATAAGCCATGCATGGTCCCTCAGGAACTTTAGTGAAAATTGTTCACTGCCAGGAGGACAGTTGTGTTGGTGCATCTCCTTTGATCATTGTGGTAGCTACGTACGACAAGACTAATTATGAGGGGCAAGTGGAAACCATAGCTTTAAATTCACTGCCTTAAGCATTAGGCAGACACCAGAGGGCACTGCCAGGTATAATCATGAAGACATTAGGATATACATTGGCACCCCAGCTCCCATAGTGTGTGGAAGAATTTGTCTCTAATGTGACCTCCCTGGCATTGCTTAACATCTGGTGGCCCTCATTTGATTACCAGCCTGTCAAATGTCACTGCCTCCAACCTCAGGATGCATGGCCATAGCAATCTGCAAAGTGTGCCTCTTAGCAGTGTAGTGAAGTGTTTCTACTTCAATGTAACATTCATCAGCTATTGTGCTGAACTGTCTCTGGGGTTCAAATAGGTGAGCGCACAAAGAAGCTGACAAGGGAGGAGCAGGTGGTGGGTTTTCTGTGATATTGTTCTGTTGTTTTGGAGTGATCAGGGCTGCTCCTCAGATTTTAGAATTAAACAGATAAACCATGCTTGTCCTTAGCCCTACATAATTAAAGTGCATTTGTGATGGTTCACTTTAGAACATTTTGCACAACTGATTAATGGGGTGGCGGGCAGGTGTTTTGATTCCATTTTGGGTAATTTTTACTTTTATAAGATCAATCCAATTTAAAGAATAAAATGTTTTGGGATAATTAGTTTGGATACATCAAGGTTTGTGTGACATTTTGTTACATGCAGGAAGCAACTAAGAGACTTCAGGTCTCGTGAAAAGAACAAAAATCACTTTAGAAACTACATCTATCCCTTTTCAGCTCAGAATCCATCGTGTTTATTGGAAAGTTTTATTTATTCAGTGGGAAGCAGATACTATTGTAGCCTTACAGTGGAAAACTTTGTTGACATTTTCCAACTCAGTTAAGCTGATTTGGACTTTATTGTACCCTTAAGATGATAACCCTGTCGCTCGATCTCTAAAATCCCATGTCTAACATCTGTTGCTATTTCTTTCAGGGAGACAGTGGTGGGCCTCTGGTTTGTGAGCGACCCGGAGGACAGTGGACATTATTTGGTTTAACTTCGTGGGGCTCTGTCTGCTTTTCCAAAGTTCTGGGGCCTGGGGTGTATAGCAACGTGTCTTACTTTGTTGAATGGATCGAAAGACAAATATATATCCAGACCTTTTTCCAAAAGGAATTTCAAGGATGATCAGAGACTCAGCCAGAAACCCACACCAACAGTCCTCTTGACCATGAAAAGTGCCCTGCTGAGAGCTGCACGAATGGGCTATTCATGGATAGGGCGCTCAACATGCACTGCAAGACCTCTGGTTTGCATCACATCTGTTTTACGCTGCCTTTTATTTTTTTCAACTTTTATCATTCATTCATTTCATGAATTCTTTTAAAAGCACAGAGCAAAGTAGGTTTTGTTCTTTCCCTAGGATAACTTTGGATGTAGTATGGAATTATCAGCTCCATAGGGACAACATTTGGAGCTCTATAGTAACAAGTTATAGGAAGTTGTTTTTCATAGTATCACAAGAAATACATGGAGACACACTGCTGGATCTTGTCCAAACACAGTGGCTAAGGGGGCAGATTTCAGAACTGACCTTGCAGACTGGCTTTTAATTCATAAAAAAGCCACGATAATGTACATGCTTATTTTATTTACCAGATTCTTCTAAATAATTTGGAGAAATTATGAAAGTAAAAAGACCCACAGTATATTGCTCTAGATAGTTGAAACTGCAAGACACACAGAATGTAAAATTCTCTAGCCATCAAAACTGATACTTTGAAGTATAATTCTACCCTTCCTGCATTCAAACTGAAATTGTAATTTCATAGAAAATCTCCATAGAACTTTTGCCATTACTGGGGATTTTCAATGTATGTCATTTAGATGACAGAGATTTCAACAACTAGGTCAATTCTTGTGCAAATATTTTGTTTGCCTATGTGAAATGAATGAGAACCTTCTTCACTTTGGAGATGAGAGACAGAGAGAGAGAGAGAGAGAGAGAGAGAGAGAGAGAGAGAGAGAGAGAGAGAGATTAAATGGTACCCCACCCCCAATTAAATCTGAAAATTGGTTTTCCTGTGTTCACCCAAATCAGAAATGCCACAGAAATATATTTCAAAGCATGGCAAAATGTTGCATGGAACAAAACATTTTGAAATTTCCCCTTAATGATGTCTAACATCTAGTGTTGCCATTTTGCCTCACTGAGAATTAAAACAAAAATTTAAAGTTGTTTTTAAGCACTGGGCCACTTTACGCAAATCAATTTCTGAAGCAATTAGTGGCTAAAAGTATTTTTTTCCACTAAAAAGCTTCAGAAACACAAACCTTCATACACACCTAATTGAATTAGTCAGACATCAACTAATGTAACATCCAAATGCCTTTTTGAACAAGTAGGATGCACTACTAAACTTCACCAGCAACCAGACTGCCTCAGCATTCCAAACAGGGACTACCTGCAATTTTATATGTGTATTTTGTACTCTTTTTCTATGTGTCAATAAGAGTTCATATCCAAAAAGTTGTTTCAGCCCTTATTTTCCATGTTTATTCATCTCTCGTCCTGAAACTTGTTACAAGGAGTGTGTAGCACTTGTACTGTGTTTACCACTGTATGAAGGTTTAAGGTCATTGGACAGTTTTGTTATAATTGTTGGCACACGGTTAATGAAAAAAAATTAGCTTTGACAGACTTATATTCAGTAAAATGTACTTGTTAGACTTATTTTGAATAATTTTGCATACAATAAAATGATAATTTCTTTCTTGAGGAATATGGATGGAATATCGATACCAAGTTTCAGGAAAGTGGCTCTCTGTCTGATAACACAGTGGCGCCCAGTTTCCTGTCAGCCAAAATGTACATAGTGTGTAACTCACTCTCACAGGAACTTGCTCTTTTAGACTAGTAACAGCTTCATCTCTAGTCTTATGCGTTGCTAATAGTATCAATCGTTCCTGGAGTACCCGAAGAACGCCAACCCTGCAAGAGAACACCAGTCTTCAATGTTCATAGTGTATTTTTGCAAGTGTTCCTACTCTTCAGAAACCTTTTATAATAAAAATTATATACCAGGCCATTTATTATTAGTTTTCTTGGATTCCTCAAAATTTGGTGAAATATTCTAAATATGTGAATACAATACACCACACTATCTTTGCTAATTTTGCATAAAATAGTTATTCACTTGTAAATTCAACCTTTTGAAAGGTTTACAAAGATCTGAATCTCCTTAGCCTAGGGGTCAGGTGTTTTTCATAAGTTTTTAAATTTAAAAAAAAGTTAATTACTAAGTAATTAAATGTGGCAATACTTTTGTAGGAATATACACAAATTATTGCATCAGGTGTATAAGTAGCTTCAGATTTTCCAATGCATTGAGTTTGCACTTAATTTATGAACAAAGATGGGAGGGTTTTTCTAGTTGCAGATGTAAGGTTATAGTCTCATGACATAAGCATTCAATGCTTTCCTATATCTTTGCTTTCTTTTGGCCAGATAATTCACATCTTGAAAATGACCTTCTTCTTACTCTGTTTTGGCATATTCCTTCAATCTTTAGATTAAAACCTTTCATATGCATACGAGCATCTCTTTAATGTTTATTTGGGAAATGGTGATCTCAAGGAATGAATTCCAGTTGCTATGGGGATGATGAATGATCTGATATCAAGTGATTTCCCCCCCCCATAGACAAAGAGATCTAAAAAGCATTCTGGCAAAGGCATGCCTTAGGGTTTTCCTCCTCAGCTCTGGCACCAATTACAGTTAGATTTAGGGAGGAGTTACACGAGTGATGACAGCTTTCAATGAACATGATTTATTAAATAATTTATTTTAAAAAATCTTAGGGAAGTAGAAGGCAACTTCCATTAGCCACATGATAGTGTCATAGTTCCAAAATCAGTCTATATAAAAAAAGACCATTTAAGAATAACAGGAAGGTACAGAAATTGACTAGGACAGTGCAAGCAGGCAGCAGGTAGGCCCTGAGAATAAGTTTGCTGTAGACATTGACTTTTAGCATAGAGATTCATGAAGGGAATTCCACATGACTGGTAGGTGACAGCTTTCAGATGAATACAGAAGTTTTAAAAGACTTCAACAAGAGCACACGATCTCACAGTGGCAAATTGACTCACCTGGTGTAAACTAAGTACTAAATGAAGCCAGCATCCATGATTTGTCACAGCAGAATACTTGCTACAGACATTTCTACCCTTAAGTATGTTAATTTTCTAAGAGCCTCGGGATTCCCACTGAGCATAACCTGTGTCAGTCTCAACCCCTATCTCATTCTGTAGAGGCTACAGCAAAGACAAGTTGCTGAGCACTGTTAGAACGATGAACTCTCAGAGGGTATCTAGGAGACTGTTTTGAAGATGATTGTCTCATGCTGGTGTGGGATCATCAGTTTTGGAACTCAGGAAGTTGCTCACAGTCTGTAGGCTCTGCTGATTGTGTTTCATGACCTATTTGTCTGTTTCCTGATTGACAACACCTGCACATGGGGAGCTCACATGTCTTCTCTTAGCAGTGAACAGAGCACAAGGCAGCCTCGGGCTGTTGGAAACACTCGACCTCTTCTTTCCCTTCCCTACGAAGGCTCTACTTCAGCACCATGCTGAACTGAGCAGAAGGAGCTGCTAAACACCTTCAGCCGGGGACCAAAGGCTTCTTCTCAAGGAGAACAAAAGGTCTTGGGAATTTTTCTTTAAATTAATGAGTTTTCCTAATAAAGCAGGTTTTTTGTTTGGTTGGTTCATTTTGGTTTTTTTGAGACAGGGTTTCTCTGAGTAACAGCCTTGGCTGTTCTGGAAGAAATAGCTCTGTAGCCCAGGCTGGACTTGAACTCAGAGATCGGTCTGCCTCTGCCTTCCAAAAGCTGGGATCAAAGGTATGTCTCACCATCCAGCTATATAATGAACCAGTCTTTAAAGTACTTTTTTGTTTCTTAAATTAAAATTCATATTGGATTTCACTTAAAGCATTCTCCAAATGCATGAGACTTACCTATAAAATAAGTATATTTCAAATGAATTCACTGGATAAGGCTTGCATTTATAAGACAATTAAAATTCCTTTTAAAAACCTAAAAAAATTCATAAAAGCAACATATGATCCTGAATTAAATATTTCCCTTCCTTATATTCTGCTGAGGTCAAACACTATCCCTTGCTTACAAATGTGCACACAGGTATAAATTGCAGAGATGGTACTGGCTTTTCCATGCCTAGCAAAGTGTTGATATCTCGTGTACAAAAACACAAGTGATCCTCACTGTTGAGAGACATATCCTCTGAATCCTTCCAAGTGTGAAAGATTCTTGCAACTCTAAGCAGGGTATCCTGTGTTCTTAACATGCTGAGAGCTCAGTCACCTTTGAGACACCTGTTCAGAGTAGTCAACGTCTAGCACGGTCTCACATGTAGGTAAGTCTTCTTGTTCAACAGCACAGGCTGTCACTGATCTCACGGGAAGGGCAGCAGAAAGGCCAGCCTCGGGTCTTCCTGACTTGGCAGCTGATTGGCCGGCATAGTTAGATGCCATTTGGGTAATCTTTGCAGTCCCTCTCCATTTCTTGAGAGCTTCTGCCCTCTCCTCTGGAGCTAGTCTGTCCAAGTACGTGGCTCTCAGAACTGGAGATGGGAACAGGGATCCTTGAAGAACTCGGTATAGAAACCTGGGTTACAAAGAGCACCACGGAATTACCTTCACTTCCATTGCATCGTGGGACCCATTGAAATATTAACCAGTTTAAAAAAAAAGTAAGAGTCTGGCAGGCACTTGGCTTCTGAGAGAGGAAGGTAAGTAAGGTATAAGATGAAGATTAAAATAATATTAAACCTGGGGCTGGAGAGATGGCTCAGAGGACAAGAGCACTGACTGGCAGCTCTTCCAGAGGTTCTGAGCTCTATTCCCAGCAACCACATGGTGGCTCACAATCATCTGTAATGAGATCTGGTGCCCTCTTCTGATCTGCCGGCATACATGCATGCAGAATGCTGTGTACATAATAAATAAATAAACCTAAAAAAATTAAACCTGGACTGGGGGTGAGCCTCTATAATTCCAACACTTGGAAGGTTAAATTAGAAAGATAGTCATGAATTCAAAGCCAGCTTAAACTTGACAGTGGGATCCAGGTCAGCTTGGGCTACTATACAAGGCCATGATATTAAAACTCAATAATTAAAAATATTTAATAAATTAGTATTTGTAAAGCACTCAGCAACCACTAAGTACTCTCTGTGCTTGCCAGATAAGCAGAGAGGCCCCCCTCTTCTACTGTTACAAAGACAATAAATTTCAACATGAATTTTGTGGGGGAAAGCATTCAAACCACTTACATAAAAGATTCTTATTCTTCTGTGTAAGTGAATATGGCTCCTGTTAGCAGACCCATAACCCTCGCCCACAGGAAGCATCTTTGGGCATGAGTCAGTTGATGTGCTTTCAAACAATATAGTGGGGGAAACGTTATGAAGTGACAAGGCTGTGAGGGGTTTGCTCTACCACTGTTGCCATATGTGGATGAAGCATTAAGATTTCATCCTAGAAAGAGAATCATCAAGCCTGATAGCACCTTGACGTGGGACTTCCCAACCGCCAGAACCCTGAGTGCATTTCTGTTTGTAAGTTACCTAGTTTGGGTATTCTATGGTACCTGTAAAGCAGAGACCAAAGCAAGGGCTCAGGCGATGGAAGAATGAATGATAGGGGATGGTAGGTCCTTGGATAATCCCATGAGGCAAACTTTCTTTCTTCCTATGAACTGTTAATCAGATTGGACTTTTTCATGACAGAGAAATATAGTCTTCACTTAATTAATCTGGTCCTGTTCTATAGTACAATTGAAACCAATATTTTAGCTAGCATGCAGGCTGATTTCCTCACTCCCGAGCAGGGTGGTCTGCCAGTCATTCTTAGTAGTTACTCAAAGCCTACGATTCCAGGTACTTGCTCTCTTGAGGAGGAAACATATTACATACCTGGGCAGAAGAGCTATGCAGGTTGTAAGAACACAAACTAAGTAGAACACTGGGTCCAGCATGTGCTTCTGCATGATCCAGTAGGGGTTGGATGGTGGGTTGCAAGTTACACACAAGGCTCCAAAAGCCAAGGCAAAGAAAAAGTAGGACAAGATGCTCCCAACCATGACCAACATGTGGATCCAAGTCTGCAAGACAAGAAGGGCCAGGAAAGGAAGTCTTACTGGTGGCATATTGCAATCTGGCAAAACCTGCTCCATTAAAGAAACAGTACAATAAGTCTGAGTGGCTCATTTTACAGACCTTACCATGCAAGACACAAGCTACCAAGAGCATAAGGGAAGAGCCTTATTCATGAGTGGCTCATGCCACTGACTGAATTCTACAGAATGAAATCAAAAGCCAAAGGCTATTCTGTTGATTGGTTTAATTTCCACTGTCCATGTGCCAGGAGGTATTTAGATTTCCCTTTTCGTTTTTTTATAAGTCACTTATTCATTTTATTATGCAGTCACTCATTGATCTGATGATGGTATTACTTTAATTCAGCAATCTTCAAACTTCAGTCATTCACATACACAGCAAGTACTACATTTGCTCATCCATACTCTTATTCTCGCTTAGTCAGCATTCAGGTGGTTGCTCTCTACTCCTTTTCAATGAAACCAAGTTCAGCGAATGGAAAGGGATGTTTAGAACTCTCGGGGTAGAAGCTTGTAAGAGCTGCTGTGCTTTTTCCCATGTTACTGGGTGCATACTACTGGTGACATGGGCTTGGGCTTTCCTTCTATGGGAAACACTGCCTTCATAAATCTCTTTCCTAGGACGGCAATTTTCAAATACGGTCCAATTCACTCTTACTTTGTTTGTAATTAGGCAAAGTATTTCCCCACAGTAGATATCTTCCAGAAGTCACAAAGATTGCTCATATTTTATAAAATGTAGAAGCGTCTCAGAAAATGTTGGCTAACTCCTTAATTAAAAATGTCATGCCCCAGAACAATGGGCACATCCATCCACCTTCTCTTCCTCCCTCCTTTGGTTTTTCTTGCTAAAATGCTCTTCCTTCTATTTGAGCACTAGTCTAGTTTTTTTTTTTTCTCTCTCTTGTTATGTGCTTTTGCAAGTGTGGTGACATCACAGCCCACAGTTATAAATGAGTTTATAAGGAAGTTAATGGGGAGAACACTGGGTAAGAGTGCCCTTGAAGTGGGAATTGACCACAACACAGTGAGCCAGAGTGTGAAGGACATGTTGTGTTCCAGGAACTCCAAGTGGCTGACTCTCTCGAAAAGAGACTGCAAAGTCCATGAGTTCTGGTAGTACATCCTCTGGCAGGAGGACACTTTTGTGAGCTGCACTTCTATGGAGACATTACTGCATTTTTAGCTTTCATTCTCCCTCTTGAAGAAAACACTCAACACGAAGCAAAGTGTTGGCAACACACACCTCTCACACTAAAGCCTGTGGCCGAAGCCAGGGAGACAGGATTCCACCACTAGCAACTAAGACTGCAGCACAGTGAGGCAAGAGCAGAAGAAAATGCATGCATTTGGTTCAGACCAATGTGTATCCTGGCAAGCATATCCATTAGTTTCTGCTCCCTGGCCCTTTGCTGACTCCTTGGGATTTTGGTTTTTAGCCCATGGTTCCTCAATATGATTTTCAGAACATTTCTACTTGTCTAGGTTATCCAGAATGGACTGCTGTTCCTTTCAATCAATGAACCCCAACTAGTATACACGGTGTGTCAGTTCCTCTGGAACACACAAAGGTCAGAGCCTGTGGCACAGCTTTTGGCAGAACCAAAAGTATCTCTAACAATTGTTTAAAAGCTAAATAGGTGTTCAAAGGAGTCCAAACATAGCTTCTGAATCTCTTTTAGCCAATCTGGTATTTGCATATATTAACATTTTATCACATTTGGGGCTTAGAAGATTTAGTTAGCATAAGCAAAGCAAATGATGCCAAAAATAGATATTTGGTCTTACTCTATAACTTGTTAAAATAATTTGATAATGTAGCACTGTATATTTTGAACCATGGTTTCACTCAGTGAGTTCCTGTTTGAAATCCATTTATTTACCCTGATGATAAATAAACTCTGTAAGTGGTCAGGCGTCTAGCTACTCACTCATGTGGGTTTTTTGAACACTTACTCAGAGTCAGTCTTATCTTGGCCTGTGGTTTACATGGTGAACGAAACAGGCATGAACCCTACCTCACACACATCATAATTTGATGCAGAAGGCAAACCTGAACCAGACAATTCCATAATTAAATGAATAACTACAAATTCTCTTTAAGCTTATGGACAAAAGCAAGAGAATAAACTGAGAAAATAGATGACTCAGGAAAGGTTCTAGAGGAAAGAGTACTTGCTAAGCTACGCAATGATTTCAAGTAATATTTTGAGATTGGTAAAAATTCACAAATACAACAGAAACCTGCAAGTGTCTCCAACTAAGAGGTAACAGTAAGAATGGAGGTTCTAATATGACTGACTAAGAGCTCAACACGTGTGAGAAGCCGAAAGAGGGAGAACATGGAGCCAGCCCTTGGATAAGGAAATGAGGCTGGGCACAGGTTAACAGCCTCACTGTTTGAGGTCTGATGAGCTTTAGTGGGGTTTTCAAGTTCATCCCAAGTATAATAAAAAAAAAAATAGAAAGGATTTTTGCTCAAAGAAATAAAAAAATATTTTGGATTATCACAGGGCACAAAGTCCTCATTTACAACAGTTAACAGAGAGGGTATGGTACAGGATGTGGTTGACTTTAGTGCAAGGCCATCAGTTTGCTCTAAAAGCCTACTAAGCACAGCTGGTGTTTTCCTGTCCCCTGACTCAACTCTGTGAAGTACTTACCAGTGACAGAAACAAAGGCACACACAAGTACTTTTCACTTTCACTGGATTTGGCATCACAGCACCCAGTGACCCCCAGTTTTGCCTTGAATGACCTTACAGCCGCAGAGGGCTCAGCAGGTCCACTGCCGATGGAAGACATATCCCCCAGGCAGAAGGAGGACACTCACCAGACTCTTGCTTTCTATCACCAGGTGGAGGAGAATGATGAACAGAGCTGCTGTGTTCAGGGGATTCCCAAATGTGAAGATGTCAATGTCAGAGCCCTGGTAGGTCTACAAGGAGAGAACAGGTGGTGAGTGTGAGGGACTGCACACACTTGGTGTCTAACACCATTTTATCTATAGCTCAAATGTGGCTTGCGTGTTTGCCATAGTTCAACTAACTAACCAGTCACTTAGGTAAAGGGGACATTCTCAGACAAGAGACTGGCCTTCCCAGATAGGCTTCTCTATCTACATTTTGAACTTTCAGGTGGAATCCTTCTTCATTCTGAATCATCAGTGATCTTTCTGGAAGCTTTGGTTCATAGTTCCAGCTCCTAATGGCACACAAACACATCGAATATGTTCCACTTAAGAAGCAGAAGCTGTAACTACCCTAAGCTGATACTTCCAGTTAAATCTGCCCTCCCTCTCATCTATGTATCTTGAAGTCCTTATGCCAGCTCTCAAATGATGCAGTTCTCTGTCCTCTCAGTATCCTTTTCTGAAGGCACTTCTAGCTGCTTTGTCTAACAATATAGCGAGACTATTTAAAAGAGCTAATTCAAGTGATTTCGTCAGAGCACAGCGCAGAAACTGTCAGCCTAGTGAGTACCATCATTTTTACTCTGTGCTGCACTCTGTCAACACACTCCGTGATCACACACATCTATCTTTTTGGAATGAACAAGATGCAGACAGTTGCACTGTTTCTACTGTGCTTGGTGCCAGTCTAAAATTTAAAATGAAAATTTACACATTCTTTGCTTAGTTTGTTTCTTCTTGTCAGTAAATTGTGGTTTTTATTAAGTTCTGAAGATAGTTCTTATAGGTACTTAAATTTAATATTCTGAGTCTTAGCCTGATAGAATTAGTCCAATACTAATAAAAGCTCTTCTCTTTCTGATACTGCTCAATGATTTTTGGCTAATTTATTTATATAGCCAGAATTTAAACTTTGTTTAAGCCACTGACAAAACTTAGTAGACAGTTTAGAGTTAACAAGACACCCAAGAGCAATCAACTAGGTATATAATTGAATCCATTACCTAACATATTGTGAGGGTTTATACATCAGTCAGCTAACAGTCGGTGGGAAGCACAGTACACAGTAGCACCACTGACTCATTGAAGGAAAATGCGTTAGCAAACAAAGACTTACAAAGTAAGGCACAAAAAAGCAGACCAGACTTTGATAGAAGGCATCCAACAAGGTGATCCAGAAGGTGAGAGGTGAGTACGCCTGGAAATGAAACACATATTGGAGAGGGAGTAAAATTAGCAAGGGTCAGGGCAGCACAGCAACCCTCTGGTCCTTCATTCCTTATTTCATAAAGTGTGGAGGAAGGATGAAGGCAGTGAACTAAGACAAGTTCACTGTTGAATGTGGCAGGAAAAGTAACAAAATAAAGGAACTTTCATTAAACTTACTTGATCCATTTAAAGAAATCTAACTTTATTTTGAGCTTTTTGAGTTTTTCACACAGATTTTGAGAGTGGCTAGAGCAGTTTGCAATTCCATAAACAGTGGCTGAAGGTTCCTTTTTTCATCGAAACCTCTGCAGCATTTGCTGTCAGCTGTTTTGTTGCTCTTAGCCATTTTGATTTGGGTAAGATATATAAGTGCACATATTCCTGTGCATATACATACATATACACACATATATGTACATATGTAACAATAGCAACTAAAGAAAAAGATGCCCTGTTTTTGAGAGGCGAAGGGGTGGGAATGTGAGAAGTTGGAAGGAGGAACAGGAAGGAGAAAATAATGTAATTATATTTTAATTAAAAAATAAAATTTACTTTATCACGGATCAACATGTATGTACTCATGCATGTGTGTGTTGTGTGCTTATCTGTGCGCAAGCATGAGTGTTTGTCTATGTGCATTTGTGTGTCTACACACATGTATTGTGTGTGTGTGTGTGTGTGTGTGTGTGTGTGTGTGTGTGTGCTGCTTCTGCTTGGGACTGATTGAGCTTATGGAACACACATGCCAAACATGTACTCTGCTAAGTCCTCTTGGATCTAGTAAAAAAGTACCTGAAACAGGCCTAGCTAGTTGCAGTAATTTTCATGTTCATCAATCAGAAAGCACTATTCAAAACCTATCCAAATTCATCATTTAACTTTGTTTACACTATTCCTACATCCCTCCCCCACATGCATTGCCATCAGATCTGTCTACAAATGGCTAGATAGCCATCTCAACTGCCTTCTATGCTTCCTCAACTCAATCTTCCTGTATGTTATAATGTGAATATAAAATCTCCTCCAATCATCTTATGTGTTCAAACTTGGTCCCAGAGGCTGGCCAATCTGTTGAGAAGTTTTGGAATTTAAGAGTGAGGACTAGCTGGCTGAAGTAGGTCAGTTCAGCTCTTCTTTTCCCTGCCCAGGAACTGAGTATTCGACTCTCTGTACATCTGAACCCCACCCCCATTCCTCCCTCCTTCTCGTTCCTTATAACATGAGCAGCAAGAAAACTTATAAAGTAAAATAAATCCTTCCTCACTTACATGGCTCTGTCAGATATTTGATTAAAATAATGAGAAAAGTAAAACAATCAAACAAATAAAACAGCATAGAACTAGCAGAACTAAAATCATCAGGAAGTGCAAATTAAAGCCAATTTATCATTCTATTTCACATTAGTCAGAATGACCATGACCAGGAATACAAATGACAACAGATGATGGAGTGGACATGAGGAGAGGGCATCCTTGTACATTGTTGGTTGGACTGTAAATTAGTGCAGCCACTTTGGAAATCAATCGGGAGGTTTCTCAAAAAAACTAAAAATAGAACAAGTGTATGACTCAGCTCTAGAACGCCCCAGAAAACCCCAGAAGACTTTACTTGATACGTCAGAAATACTTGCAAGTCCATGTTCATTGCGGCTGAATTCACAATAACTAAAAAACAGAACTAACTTAGATGTTCATCAACTGATGAATGGATAATGAAAATGTGGTACATGTCTACAGTGAACATTGCTCAGCTGTAAAGAGAAATGAAATCACAACGTTGCAGGTAAATGGATGGAACTTCAAAAAAGTTATACTCAATGAGGTCACTCAGGCTCAGAAAGACAAATGCCACATGTTCTTCCTCGTGTGGTTTCCAGTGTTGACTTTTGTTTTGTTTGATTAACTTGGAATGCATGTGAAAGTCAGGTAATGAGAAAAGGGACATTGGGTAGTGGACACATTAAAGGAGGGAAGATGGCCAAAAAAAAAAAAAAATACTGGGAGTGGAAATTCAAACATGGAATGGGTATGGGGTGGGGAAAAAAGGGTGAGGGGAGGGTTAACCAAAATGAAGGATGCATGAAAATGCTATAGGGAAACCTATGATCCTGTAACCTGATGGGGCATGTACTGTGTATGTTTATCTTATTGATTGTTAAATACAGTTCTGTTTGGCCAATGAAACAGCAAATTAGACAGGACTAGGAGTCAAAGAGGATTCTGGGAAATGTAGTAGAGAAGTGGTGTTCCAGGCAGGAAGTGACATAGCAAGGAGACTCATAAGCAAGGAGAAAGAGGAAGTGTCCCCTTTCCCCTTCGCCTCCTCCAGCAGCAGGAATGTGAGCCACCGGCAAGGAGGGACACCAATAAGGCATCCGATAAGATAAGTCTTATAAAATATATAGATTTATGATAATTAAGACTGAGCCAACAGATGAGAATCCTAGTCATTGGCCAAGCAACTTTGAACCTAATACAAGTCTCTCTGTGTATTCATTTGGGCTCTAACTGGAGCAGGTGGCTGGCGTAAAGCGCACACGTGGCGGTGGGGCTCGGCGGCTTTTGGCAGAAAGATATTTGTAACAGTAACCCAAGTTAAAAAAAAAATACAATCAGAAGGAGAGCGTACACAGGTGACATGAAAGAACAGGGCATGCTCTGAGTTAAAGGGTGGAATGGGGATGAGAGGGAGACACCAGAGCACAGTGGGTAGGGGTAGTTTAACTAAGACTGGAGATGTATGAAGAAATCTTAAGAAAATCCACAAGTTTGTAAGCTAATGTATTTAAAAGGAATTTGAACCAGAGATCCCTGCATGGGCAGACAATGCTGCTCCCAGAAGGCATAGTTTACTAACTGAAAACTCAGTGCTAGGCACAGGATACTGTCCTGTGAGTTCTTAGTCACAGAAGCTCCAAGGGCACCAAAACAACATAGGCTATCCCCCATTGCTCTCGGTTGTCACTGTCATTACACAGTGAAACCCTATTGCTGAAGACACCACTCACTCTGGATATAAGGCATAGATAAATCAACCTTGACTGATCAGGTAACTCTCTTTACTGGCTATATTACACAGTGCCAGAGGATGTTTCTGGGGGAGAAAAGAAACCAAGGATCTTTAGTCAGCACAGGACAGTGCATGCTCTAACACCAACCTGCAACGGAGTGTTCACTGAGGCAACAGTTGCTTGACAGTTTGCGGGATAACCAACCATTTTCTGACTGGATATCTGTGTGCTCCAGAGGAGGCATTTCATGCCTGGCACTGTAAACCTGGGAGAGCATAGGCTCTAGTTGGGAACCTACTGTGATTATGCTGAATATTCATGCTGTCAAACTGCATTCTAAACATTTATGTTTATACCTACCAGTGTGTGCTGCTCTCAAGTTTGGTCAGAGGCAGAGTTATGAACGAATGCAGAAAATCTTAACTGATCTAATTGCCAAGCATAAGTAACCCTGAGTGCTCAGCTGTGAATGAATTATCTATTCCATTGAAGGCTTAGGGAACATTTAAGAAGAGTGGGTAGAAAGATTGAAAGAGTGAGAATAAGGAGGGCTGGCAAATGCTGACATGGCTGTTGGATGCATCACCTCACAGAAACTGTAATTACATCCACAATCTCAAGTCCATCAAAGATCCACGCCAGACGGGGGAAGGATCCCTGAGGCTCCAGCCCTGGTAGAGGAGCTACTGACAGTACAGGGCTGCTAAGGAAGTCGCTCTACTTTGAGGACAGAGCTACTAATTGACAGCATCACAACCATGTGCAGAGAGGCAGGACAGAAAAATGGAAAACATGAAGTTAGGTGGGAAACCAGGTGGTGCACTAAGGGAAGCTGAAGTGAGATAATGATGGGAGGACATAATAAAAATGCATTGTATAAATGTACAGAGTTTTCAAAGAATAAATAAAAATTATATATGTATATATGCGTTATGTGTGTATACCTATATACATGTATATATACAAATATACATATATACATGTGTTCATATATATACCATATACATATATATCCAGTACACCGTACCAGCCACTAGATTTTTCTAAAACTATAAGTTAGTTCATGGCATCTTCCTAATTGATCAAATTGCCTCGTTCTTGTCACTCCAATGATTCCTGCTGCATTTCCAATAGATTTAAAGTTCTTTTCTGTGACATATCAGGTCCAACTCGATCTTCCCCCTGGTTGTGTTTTCATTATCATCCCACAGCATGGAAACAGCTAAGTCTCATTTCCTCCAGGCTATCTCCCGTGCTGGGAGTTCCTTCTTAGGCCTCCCACATGACTGCTTCTAATTTTCTAAATCCCCAATATCCTCTCCTCATAGAGGTACATCGGACTAACCTAAAGACATCTCCACCCTGTCATTTACCAGCACAGCATCATAGAAAGTTTCTCCTATCAGAAAAAAAACTGCTAAGCATATTTTGGTTCTCAAATTGCAAGGTTCAGAGTTGTTGGGAGGCATACAACTTGGCATGAACCTTTAGGCCAAACTTGGCAGGCCACACGGTTTTAGAACTGTCTTTCGATTATAAATGGCTTCGAGAAGCATGATCACCCAGAAGGAACAACATGACCCAGACATCAATCCTTTGTTCCAACCACAGGCCCACTTACCTAAGCAACCCTCCTTCATCCCACCACTTACCTAGGTACCCCTCCCTCTCCCAAGTTCACCACCCAACATCCTGCTTAAACTAACACCTGGCTCTTGGTCTCTTCTCTCCTTCCCCTTTACCCCATACTACTGACTATATAAGCAAGCCTGGAAAAAATAAAATTTGCCACTTGATCAGAATCCTGTCTTGTGGTCATTCTCTCGAGTCTCTTGTCTCCATTCCCCTCCCTGGATTTCTTGCTCTAGGTTGCTGTCCTGCAGGTTGGGACAACTACAACTGGCGCCCGCAATGTGGGGCTTGACTGTTCCAAGAGAGGAGAATTTCAGTGTTCATTAGAGGGACGGGCCCATCCACAC